ATTTCTTTCTCTTACCAAAACACATAGGTCTGTGCTGGATATTTACTGTTTTACACCATATTCTTACTATGGTTTTAACAATTTTAGAGACTGTACTTTCAAAGATATCAATTTCAATTGACATTTCAACTTTTAATCCAAGCATTTTTTATCTCTTGAGCATTTTGTTTAAGAGTTGAAGGATTAGGTAATGTTTCAAATTTCCTTAGTTAACATTTAAGCAGGACCTTTTTAAACTTAAAAAATTAAAAGAAGGACAAAATAAACACTGGGATTTTAGTAAAATAAAAATCATAAGAATGATGCAATTGTTAAAAGAAGTCTATTCATTTTATTCAAAGGAAATCAGAACAATAAACAGGCAATGATAAATTAATTAAAGAAATTGTTTGTGAACTAGCCATCTACATAATTTCCATATTAAAACTACATGTGATAGGTATTTATTATATTCTCTCTTTTTTCTAAATTTCTGCTATTTAATTCCTGATTAGAGAGTTTTTGTCTGTTTTTACAGGTGGTCTGGGTTGTGTTAACACCACTTGCCTGTTGCTATGGATATGCACAATAAATTATCAAATTTTATCAGCCTAACAATGGCTGTACTGTGGTGAGATGCAAAAAATCTATAATGTAATTTACATGTCTCTCGTAATTCATACCTATTTAACCAGATTTTGGTATAATTTTTTCCTGCATTGAGATTCAGTATCAAGAATAAATTATGTGTTACAGGAAAACAATAAAGTGAAGACATTAAAATGTTACTAAATTTCCGGGATGGGATAACAGTTTTAAGTACCTGAATACATGTACAGAAAATGCAAGGAACACAGCAGTAACAGCTTGGTTTTTAGAGTAAACATTGTTAAGTGAAATTCTCACAGAGTACAAGAGAAATATTTCAATTACAATATTCAAAATGTGCAGTTAAGGAGTTTAGAATAAGAAAAGTTCTCTTGAAGTTCTTACATTTACAAATGTCATAAAAAAGAATTTCTTCTAAATGTTGAATTTTCAATGCATTTAAAAACAGTACAATTTTTTTCAAGGCAGTTATCACTAATTACACCTTTCTAGGCAATTTTCATCATTGTAACTTTCAAGGCAGCCATCACCATAATAACTGTTAAGGTAATTATGAGCAGATACAACTGTCAAGGCAGTTATCACCAATTACAAAATTCATGGCAGTTATCACCATAAAAACTGTGCAGGTCCAAATACAACTGCAAAGCCAGTTATTACCAAAAACAACTGTCAATGCAGTTCTGACAATTTCAACTATCAAGGCACTTATCATCATTTTAAGTGTCAGTGCAGTTATCATCATTTTAAGTGTCTGGGCAGTTATCATCAATTACATAATTGAAGGCATTATCACCATTTATAAACTCTGAGGCAGCAATCAGCATTTTAACTTTCAAGGCAGTTTCCACCAGATACAACTGTCATGGATGTTATCATCAATTACATCTTTCAAGGCAGTTATCACCAAATTTAACTTTATAGGCAGTAATCACCAAATACATCTTTCAAGGCAGTATAATCATCAAATACATCTTTCAAGTCAGTTATCACTAGATATAACTTTCATGGCAGTTATCACCAATTACATATTTCAACTTCTATGGCATTTATCACATATTACATCTTTCAAGTCAGTTATCACCAATTATATCTTTAAAGGCAATTATCACCACTACATCTTTTAAGGCAGTTATCAGTAGATATAACTTTCTGGCAGTCATCATCAATTACATCTTTCATTGCAGTTATCACCAGATACAACTTGCATGGCAGTTATCACCAATTATATCTTTCAAGGCAGTTATCACCAATTACATCTTTCAAGGCAGTCATCACCAATTACATCTTTCAAGGCAGTTATCACCAAATTACATCTTTCATGGCAGTTATTACCAATTACATCTTTCAAGGCAGTTATCACCAATTATATCTTTCATGGCAGTTATCACCAATTATATCTTTCATGGCAGTCATCACCAATTACATCTTTCAAGGCAGTTATCACCAAATTTCATCTTTCATGGCAGTTATTACCAATTACATCTTTCAAGGCAGTTATCACCAATTATATCTTTCAAGGCAGTCATCACCAATTACATCTTTCAAGGCAGTTATCACCAAATTACATCTTTCATGGCAGTTATTACCAATTACATCTTTCAAGGCAGTTATCACCAATTATATCTTTCAAGGCAGTCATCACCAATTACATCTTTCAAGGCAGTTATCACCAAATTACATCTTTCATGGCAGTTATCACCAATTACATCTTTCAAGTCAGTTATCACCAATTATATCTTTAAAGGCAATTATCACCACTACATCTTTCAAGGCAGTTATCAGTAGATAATTATAACTTTCTGGCAGTCATCATAAATTACATCTTTCATTGCAGTTATCACTAGATACAACTTGCATGGCAGTTATCATCAATTACATTTTTCAAGGCAGTTTTCACCAATTACATCTTTCAAGGCAGTTATCATCAATTAAATCCTTCAAGGCAGTTTCCACTATATAATTTCAAGACAGCAATCAAAAATATAGAGTAGGAAAATTATGTTGAACTTTATTCAGCCTAGTCAAGTAATTAACTTAAGTCATTATATGTCAAGAGTTCCTGTATTTCTAATTCATGAAATGTTACTGGATTAAGTATTACTACCAAAAGATGTTACTCAAGTATAGATGTGGAAAGTATTAAAGGTAACAAACAACTAAATTCTCTGATGCACATAGTCACTCTGGTAATGATCCTACATACTACAATTTCTATAAGAAAATTAGTTTCTCAATGAACAAATATGATTACATGTAAACATACAATTCCTTTGGTTTTAGTTTTCTTAAACCAAGTATTTCAGTGGATTTAAAATTGGAAATACTACTCGAGTAATGAAATTAAAGCATTTTTTTCTTTAAATGAAAAAAAAAATCACCGTATACTATTTTGAACCATTTTTGATATTTTCCTAATTCAGTATATTTGTTGCTGATAATTTACCATAGGAACTAATATTAAATGTTTGATTTTTACTTCTAAATGAAATATTGATGAAATAATATGCTTATTTTAAATTTTCTCCATTTTCATGGCAACTCATGAAATATTTATTTTTATACCACTCCCATATTTATAGAAAAAACTTGAATATCCTCCATATATCTTGTGCTGGAAAACAGGTATATAATACAAGAGCGATCAGTTATCACATGTGTCGCCTCATGATGGCAAATTTCATGTTGGGACAAATTTTGTGACAGACGGACAGACAGACAGACAGTGCACAACTAGACTTGGTACTGATCATTCCTGTAAAGTTTGGATAAAATTGCACCAGTAGTTTATGAGGAGTAGTCTGTACAAGCTTTTGCGTATCTGGCAACACACAGAAAAAAAACACCTTTTTATCAAAGGGCCATAACTCGGCCAAAAATCATTCAACCGGAAAAACCCGTGCATTATGCGCAAGGACTTGAGCTACAGATCAATCCTGTAAAGTTTCATTGAAATTGCATTAGTGGTATAAGAGAAGTAGTTCGGACAACCTTTAAAAATAAAAATTATAACAGGGCCATAACTCTGACAAAAATCATTGAACCGGAAAATGCTGAAAATATGCACAACTAGACTTGTACTGATCATTCCTGTAAAGTTTGGATGAAATTGCACCAGTAGTTTATGAGGAGTAGTCCGGACAAGCTTTTGTGTATCTGGCAACACACAGAAAAAAAAACCTTTTTATCAAAGGGCCATAACTCGGCCAAAAATCATTCAACCGGAAAACCTGTGCAATATGCTTAAGGACTTGAGCTATAGATCAATCCTGTAAAGTTTTATTGAAATTGCATTAGTGGTATAAGAGAAGTAGTCCGGACAAACTTTAAAATTAAAAGTTATTAAAGGGCCATAACTCTGACAAAAATCATTGAACCGGAAAATGCTGATAATATGCACAACTAGACTTGGTACTGATCATTCCTGTAAAGTTTGGATGAAATTGCACCAGTAGTTTATGAGGAGTAGTCCGGACAAGTTTTGTGACGGACGGACAGACAGACAGACCGACAGACAGACGACGGAGAAGTGATCCCTATATGTCGCCACTACTCCGTCCGTAGAGGCGACACAAAAACTGGACAAAATAAAACAATTCAATGTCATTAAACAAAATAAAACAGATTTTAGTTATAAGAATTTACTCATCAATCACAGATTATTACATTGTTTACATACAATATAACAAAGTTTTAACAATGTTTCTTAAATGAACATTAAATAAAGGCAAAGATTTAAAAGTGAGCATAATTTTTATTTCTACATAAAGACTTTATAACCATGACCACAAAATTGTCATTATATGGCAATGTTGTAAGTATTTCAATGTGAAAATCGCCTACAGATCATTGTATATATTATTATAAATGTCCAAATAATTGTGACATTACTAGCCATTGTAAGACAATACTTTTCATAATGACTAATACAAATACATGTGTTACTCTGCTTACATGTTCTTCTTGTAGTAACAAGTCAATGATCAAGATTTATTATAAATGCAAAATTTATACTGAACAATGAATATCTCTATTACATAAATCATAATAAACAAACTTAAAATATAGTAACAAATATTAGCTGACAACAACAGTAATGAGCTGTGTCACGACAAAACCAACATAGTACGTTTGCGACCAGCATGGATCCTGATCAGACTGTGCGAATGCACAGGCTGGTCTGGATTCGCACAGTCTGATCAGGATCCATGCTGTTCGCTATCAGTTTCTCTACATGTAAAAGGGTTTGTAAGCGAACAGCATGGATCCTGATCAGACTGCGTGGATGCGCAGGCTGGTCTGGATCCATGCTGGTCGCAAACGCACTATGTTGGTTTTGTCGTGACGCGGCTTATTTTAAAAACCAATCATCCAGGGTCTGTTAGGTTATAAAGAAATTTTCTATAGATACATAAATAACATTAGATACATAAATAACATTTAGCTACATCTCTGCACAGACCAATGGAAGTACCAAGAATCGAGACTAAGCTCAGTAAATTATATTATAAGTTATACAACTTTGAGGCCAGAACTGTTTTTCTGCCAATTTTATACATGTACTTACAACAGGGAAGGGGGTTATAAAATCACATACACAAGTTGTTAATTCTCCAATATTAAGCCTGCTAATTGATAAAAGACAAATATTGGAAGGATAGTTTATGTGTGCAAGAACTTGTATAAATAATGACAGATATTATTATAGAGACAGGCTTGCTTACTCGTCTGTACAAGCTGACCAGTCTCTATACTCCTGATGCTTCATTATAACATTTATATACTGAAATCCTTCATACTGGCAATGGAAAACCTTCAAATTACAGTCAGTAACTTAAAATGGGTGGTTCACATAAAAAATCAGTTTGGTTGAGAGGGATTAAAGGGGAACAATGATGTACAGCAAGTGTCCAGTTATAACACAGCTGCCATATACAACCTAGTATAACACTGTGACCCAAAACATGACATTCGGAGATAATATTTACATTAAAAACATTAAAATCACACTGGTAAAATACATCACAATGTCTACATACAGGTAAAATAATTTGTTTATTTACATGATATAAACATGAAAGCCCTGGCTGTTTACACATATAATTACCACTTAAGCTGATATAATCTACTTAAGTTAATATACAAATTGGATGTTTACAATACACAATAAAACCTTATTAGATCAAAAGAATAAACACAAAGCATTAAATAAACATTAAACAATGTTTAAGACATTACACTGATGTCTACAGTTATAATGACAGAGAAAATAATCAATAATAGGTTACAATAACTGTGAAATTGATAATAGTAACATATATGTGATAATGACATTTTAAATAAAGAATCAATACATATAGGACCTACAGTATTACACTGACCAGTATCTGTCTAAGTACAGTTTTATCTCAGATGCCATGACATAGAGATATATAATTTTCATGTAGTTATGTCGCAAATATAATTTATAATACAGATTTTGTTTACTCTGCCTTGATTTGTTTGTTCCATTAGAATTTTAATCATAAGACAATTAGTAAAATCTAATTTTGACTAAGTTTATCAGTTGATTTTACAGAAATGTGCAAAACATTTACTATAATTATTCAAATTTACAGTTGTAAGTTATCACTAAATTTTGATATAATACATCATGTATTTTATCACAGTAGAACAAGTTTTACTGCTTCATTAAAGCTATTCTATGAACCCACAAATATTAAATATAGCTAAACTGTATAAAAACAACTTCAGGTAACTCTAATGTCTATAATATCAGGTTTTAAATCAAAGATTTCATTGTTTTATTTTTTCAATCCTAAAAGATTATTGACATAACTAAGACTCCAGTATAGAGGCCAAACTAAATACATGTACCACTGGTTAATATCCCTTAAAATAACAGAAGACAAAATTACAGCAGCACAAGGCTAGGAAACAAATTCAGCAGGGTACAGGTAAAAAAACTTCGTAAATGTATAATCAAATCAAAACTTTGTGACACATGAAATTCCCATTATGTTCCAACATGACTGCCGTCAAAAAATCTTTCTTAAAAGGCTAAAATCTCCTTTCTTTGTAATTAATAAAGTTACTGGGAATGTCAAATTAATCAAGCTACTGGTATTCAACTTTCCTCCAGCTAGAACAGAAAGTGATTGACCTTTACCACCAGTTTACAGCAAGACCAGCTTTATGATATTTCTTGCTGCAAAGGAGATTATTTCAGATTTTGATTTGTACCGGGACATTAATTATCTCCTGGATGCCTCCATGGCAATCACCTGACATCTGGGACAATCCCCGATGTCCGGGACATTATGGCATGTATGTTTATATAGTCAGACCATTCTCTTACTGTTGGCTAACTTTCAATGTTTTCATCAGGATATCCCGAAAATTTATAATGGACAGTTACAAATATGGGAGCTGGGAAAGTTCATTACAGAAATTTAGGAGGTTATGGATTAATTTCAATATATCAACAAATTGGCAGTAAGTCATACCCGGATTCAATTCTTTAGCTATATATTAATGAACAGAAACATTTAAGCAAACTTAACAATCAAAGGGCAACAAAAAAGGGCAATATGAGGTGAAGTTAATGACTAGGATTATAAAGAAGAGCACAATTATAGCCTGGTTAAATATAGTAACATCAACAAAATAAGTAACGTGAAATAATTTACATTAATACATAATGGTACTTATTATCAGCAAGAACCATACAACACTAATAGACAGCAATAATTACACTCTGTAAGAAGTAGCTACCAATCTTCAAAGACCTGCATCCCTAGTAATAGAACAAGCCAAGTTTTAATATTCATGTCAACTTACTCATGTCAAACAAGCTAGCTGGAAAATCACTCAAGTACTTACAACATTTTCCTATAAATTCAGCACCAGAATAAAAATCTTTTTCAACCAAACAACACTTGTTTTAACTCATATTTTCAGTGAATAGAAATATAAAAATCTTCATGGAAACTTATTCCATCACAATCTTTTCCTACTGAAATGCACTGAAAGAAATGAAAAAGTTCAAACTGTCCCAATACTGTTTCATCTTAACTGAACTACAAATGTATCAACCCTTGTGGAATGATACAAACTGACAAACATTTTACTTCTCTGTATCCCGAACTATTTGAAAGATAAGACCATTACTGTCTGTCAGCCTTATGAAAGGTTCTTTCCATGCACTGTTTACTTCTCTGATAAGGAAGTTCAGCTATCACTGAAGTACTTAGTCAACCTATGAGACACTTTCATCAAAATTCTTCACATGTTCAGTCAATAATTTCCTCCTTCCATTTATCTTCATCTTCTTTCTTCACATCAGGTTTCAGATGACTTCTAATTCCCCCAATCAGATTTGATGCAGCCTCTGGAACAGTGATCAGGGGCTGAACTAAGGTAGGAGGGATTTGTCTCAAAACTCCTCCCACTGCTCCCATTACACCTTTAGTTTCATGTTCTTTTGTAGCTACTTCCACCATCGCATTAGCCGAGTCTGAAAATCCCTGAATAACAGAAAATACAGGTTTCATTGTATAAATATTTTAGATTACTTACACAGTTAACTTTTATTTCTTTAAATATATCACCTGTAAAGTAAAATATTCCAAACTGAGGTAGAATATTTACATGCACCTAAAATTTTGGACAGTTTAAGTGAGTCGAGCAAACATACAATCGAAAAGGAAATATGTCAGTAAATTGTAAGGTATTCTGACAGATTTCTTATTATTCTTAAAAATCTTTATATTAATTTTCATGTAAATAATTAAAGTTTTAAAAGAAGATGACATATAAACATTTAAATTCAAGAATAAAATTTGTGAAAAATAAAGCTATCTTACTTCACGAAGTACTATGTACGCATTAGACACGCCCTCTCGGATGTCAGATGGTTGTCTAGGATAGAAACCCCGCCTTCTTGGTCCAGGTGATACAATATCAAATGTCTGCTCAGCACACCACTATAAATAACAGTAAATATTTTAGTTTTTAAGTCTGTATCCAGTGTATATTATATATCAGCACTAAAAAAGGCTGATAAACACTGTACAAAATTGATGTTTAAGTTTCATAAGAAATTCTTGGTAGGACTGAAAATTAACTTAAAATATTGAGAATAATTATAACATTAAAGTCAATGAGGCGTACCTGTACACCCTGGACAACTCTATTGGTAAGTTCTAACACAGACATTGCTGTAGACATAGAGAATGATGTAGCTCCCCTCTGTAGACCCCTGATTATACGACCATCTTTACGATATTGTTCCACGGGTAACCAAAATAAATCCTTCACTCCATGAGCTAAAATATGTACAATAAATCAGCATCTAAACAAATAACTAACAAATATGTTTTATAAACCTTTGATACTTCTTATGGATTTTGAATCATCTTATGTTTGAATCGCTACTGTGACATATATGTCAATTACAAATGCTATTATCATTACATATACAAAAAACTGAATTAAGTTGATATTAAAAGTGCATGTATAACTTAATTAAACTAAGTTGTCCTCGCACACAAACATTTTTTAAATGAAAATACAGGTTTTAAGTGCAAATTAATTAACATCACCAAGCCAAAAATACCAGTGTAGAAACCTCATTAGTATTATCATTGCTTAAGAAATCTATGCTGATGAGCCCTACTTAAAATTGTGAACTATTTTTTGATATTACAAGGAATTACTACCATTAAAGGATCGCTGATTCTATAGTCTGAGGATTGTAGAAAGTTTACCAGAGACCTCAAATTAAACGTCTCACCAGAATGACTTCAAGTAATTGATATTAGAGTTGTAAAACAGTAAATACCTAGCTGCACAATAGAATGCATTGGTCCCAATCCACCTAGAATTGTAGGAAGTTGATTTACTTTGATGTCTGTCAACCACTCATTTAAACAAAACCACACAACCTTGTCAGAACCCAACAACCTGAAATTATATCATATCTATGTTTATTTTTATATTTTAATGGATATAAAAATTTATTTTAATAAGAAAGACACAGTTAAAGTAGAGTAAATTTAGTATATAACTAGAAATGTGTCCATAGGACACAGATGCCCCCACACGCCACTGTTCTGGCAATCTTATGACTCTAGGTCAAATATTTTTTGGACTACATGTGCCACAAGTTGAAAACAAAGGGCCATAATTCTGTTAAATTTGGTCGCAGCAAAAATTCCTTCCCTTGCTACCATCTACACATTAAGGTTATTCATCCCTGTAAGTTTAAGCAAAATCTGACATGCGGTTTAAGAGGAGTTGCATTCACAAAATTTCTACATAGTATCTAGTGAAAAAATCAACAAAGGGCCATAATTCTGTTAAATTTGGTCGCAGCGAAAATTCCTTCCTTTACTACCATTTACACATTAAGGTTGTTCATCCCTGTAAGTTTAAGCAAAATCTGCCATCCGGTTTAAGAGGAGTTGCGTTCACAAGATTTCGGGACGTACGGACGGACTGACTGACGGACGGACGGACAAGTGCAACGCTATATGCTCCCACATTGTGGGGGCATAAAAATAATTTGGGCTAAGTACAGAATTTCAGGCATGTACTAGCATGCAGTTACCTAACAATTGTTCCTCCGATCTAGATCTTACCTGTGTTTGCAGGAGTTATTTCAATTCTGGAAGAACTAGAAATGTGTCCAAAGGACACTGATGCCCCCACACGCCACTGTTCTGTCCATCTTTTGACTCTAGGTCAAATATTTTTTGGACTACATGTGCCACAAGTTGAAAACTAAAAATCAACAAAGGGCCATAATTCTGTTAAATTTGGTCGCAGCAAAAATTCCTTCCTTTACTACCAACTACACATTAAGGTTGTTCATCCCTGGAAGTTTAAGCAAAATCTGCCATCCGGTTTAAAAGGAGTTGCGTTCACAAAATTTCTACATAGTATATAGTGAAAAAAATCAACAAAGGGCCATAATTCTGTTAAATTTGGTCGCAGCAAAAATTCCTCCCTTTACTACCATCTACACATTAAGGTTGTTCATCCCCGGAAGTTTAAGCAAAATCTGCCATCCGGTTTAAGAGGAGTTGCGTTCACAAAATTTCTACATAGTATATAGTGAAAAAATCAACAAAGGGCCATAATTCTGTTAAATTTGGTCGCAGCAAAAATTCCTTCCTTTACTACCATCTACACATTAAGGTTGTTCATCCCTGGAAGTTTAAGCAAAATCTGCCATCTGGTTTAAAAGGAGTTGCGTTCACAAAATTTCTACATAGTATATAGTGAAAAAATCAACAAAGGGCCATAATTCTGTTAAATTTGGTCGCAGCAAAAATTCCTCCCTTTACTACCATCTACACATTAAGGTTGTTCATCCCTGGAAGTTTAAGCAAAATCTGCCATCCGGTTTAAGAGGAGATGCATTCACAAAATTTCTACATAGTATATAGTGAAAAAATCAACAAAGGGCCATAATTCTGTTAAATTTGGTCGCAGCAAAAATTCCTTCCTTTACTACCATCTACACATTAAGGTTGTTCATCCCTGGAAGTTTAAGCAAAATCTGCCATCAGGTTTAAGAGGAGTTGCGTTCACAAGATTTCGGGACGTACGGACAGACGTACGGACGGATGGACGGACGGACGGACACTCGGACGGACAAGTGCAACGCTATATGCTCCCACTCTGTGGGGGCATAAAAATTATATCTGTCAGACTGTCCTAACAAGAACTCTAAATCTGATTAAGAATGTAGAACACTGGGATATCTATATGAGTGCTTTTCTGAAATAATTTCCTGGCAGTAATTTGAAACAGTCAAAATGGTTGCTAGTACGAGGGTTGATCAATAAATTCGTGGACACACTCCATTAATTGTTTTCTTGGGGAAGGAAAGTTAATATAATTATATTTGACATTTATCCAATTATTTATCAATTTGATGTGTAAGTTTCAGATAAATAATCCATATATTTTATCCGAAATGACAGTTTTCAGAAATACATGTAAAGCTGATCGCCGCAGCTCATTTGCAACTTACGTTACGTCGTGACGTCGGCATTACATCTTCTCAAAAAATGCAGCACCAACTTCTACACATCGTTCATGCCTGTGTACCCATCGACTGAAAATGTTCTTTTACAATGAAGTATCAAATGAACGCAACACAGACAATGCTATGGACTGCAAATCATGGAACCGGGTTAACTTGTGCCCCTTTATTTCTGCCTTCAATTTCACTCGCATAACGTTCACATCGCAACAAGTTTTAATTGGTCTGCCGTATCTCTTATCATCCTGAAGTTCTTCTCTACCCTCACAGAAGTGTATGTGTCACTTATAAACTAACGAATAAGACACTTTTTTTGTTCCAGATACAATTTCCATGTTTTCTTTAGTTTGCTTTGGCGTCATACCAAGATTTACACAGAATTTAATTACTGCCCTCTGCTCCAACAACGTCATGCTCCTCACTGGTGACCCACCCCTGTCTCCATTAACATCTCGAAATAGTAGCGACGCTTGTTTTTTTTTAAATATTCTTTAAACGATATGAAAGAACGTTGCCGTCATTTTCATATTTTAAAGAAGCACGCCAAAATAAGGACAATTTTTAAGTATTTCAAAATGGTAAATATAACTTTTTTTTGAGCAGCGGCGTTCGTATGGTATAGGGTTGCTATGGCGATACATATAATAAACAAAATGAGATTTGTTTTTAAAAAATCACAATATATTTGAATAGTATTAAATTCTTCTCCTAAATAGCAAAAAATCTTTATAATATCTTGATTAATTATTAAGTTATTAATAGTGTCCATGAATATATTGATCAACCCTCGTACATGTAATGAAATGTATTAATACAAACCCTTGTTTGTAAGTCAGACTTTTCAGCCTCAGTTCAGATCTGTTCAATGACACAAGACCTCCTAGTCCAGCTAGCGCTCCCTACATAATGCATAAAATAAGTGCATGTACATATACTTGTTAAGGTATATACATGTATTTAGTGTTTCTAGATAATACACAAAATAACTACATATACATGTAAGGCATATAAGAATCTTACACCGGCTACCGGTACAGACCGGAATATCTAGCTCGAGGGTAACTGTTTACAGCGGTAACGAGGCTCTGCGGAGTTTCCACTTAACAGTTACCCGAGAGCTAGATATTCCCGTCTGTACCAACAGCCAGTGTTTGATTCTTTTTCTTGCATATTACATGTCAATTATTTTCGGAACAGAAATTATGCAAACTGATATTCTCATTACGCACTTTTTTCTTATAGTAGGGTATGAAATTACAACTTTATTCATAACGGAAAAATGACGTTATCCTAAGAACGCGATTCATTTATAAAAGGCGCGCGTCAATGACGTCATTTTATGCACGGGACTTGTCTTACATGGGGGTGTAAGACAGAGTTTTCTAGCACCGGTGTAAACGGAAGATAATCCTGTCTGAGATGCAAGAATACAGCTAGTGTTTCTAGACAGCTTTAGCTCTTTATATAATATACATAATGATTACATCTCCAGATCCCACTGAAACCCCTAATGATTACATACAGTGGCATATAGCTAGTTCTCCCAATTAAAACACTTAATGATTACATTAAACACATGAAACTTTTTTTTTGGTTTACATCACACCAACACAGTATAAGTCATATGACGACTTTCCGGCTTTTACTGGTGGAGGAAGACCTTGGGTCCCTTATGTGCATCATTTCATGAGCAAACCGGCATCTGAGAAGAACCACCGACATTCTGCAACCCACAGCGGCAAGGGGCAGATGGTTTGAAGTCAACAACCTTCACCACTCGGCCTCCGACACCCCTCATGAAACATGTCAATATGGCGACATGGAATGACATGGACATTCTAGCATGCATTTACACATATACACAAAGTGGCAAAGATAAATCAGACAAGCCGCCTGAAATGAACAAAACTGCATATTACTTTGAACAAGTAATAATCTTATTTTCAATAAGTTAATTCAAATATTCTTCTATACACACCAGAAGTATATATATCATAAAGAAACAAAGTCTAGGTATAAATACAAACCTTAACAAAGTTTTATATAACAATTTTACTTACATGCTCTCTATCAAACTTTCCATGGTAATCTAACCTAATGGGGACATCTGGTGAAAATACAAATGATCTGCAATAAAAATACATCACTTATTGTAATTTATCTGTAAGATCCATTACTAAACATATATTTGCATGATTAACAATTATCAAAATTAACTTGCATATGTAAGACTTCTTCTCTTGTTTACAAACCTTGAACTTCTTTTTATAATAGGCTGTACTATCTATAAGGAAAATGGATTTTTTTATTGAAAAGTTATTACAATGTAAGCTACAGTATATATTAGTATTTAAAACATTTCCTACTTGAAGAATACAGGTTGAGATGATCTGGCAGTTTCTGATGTAATGGTTGCCACACTTGATGCACTACTCTTCATGGATCCTAGCCTTATGTCATCACTGATAGAGCTGGTTCCTAAACTGCTCTTAAAACTCGCCTGCATAATGCCGGGAAACATATTTATTACAATTTACAGATTATTCTAACTAAAAGACTAACAGTTCTATAATTAGTTCACTACATTTTTTTACTATCATGGATCATAATGTCATTGAGCATGAAACAAAATTAATATGATAACACCATATTTTCACAATTTATTCTTTTGGGTATATTTGCTAAATTTCATGCTATAAGAACAGCATTGTCATTCATTACCTCCCTTACATTATACATAGTGATTTTTAGTAGCAAGCGAGGAGAAAAGTTGATTTATTACATGTGAAAATACATTTTATGAGCTTCTTAACATGTACTATAGATTGTTACAAAGTGTACCTTATTTGGATACATAATGATATCATTTACCTGTAGATCACTGGTAAGTTCATTAAACTGCATGAGAAGATCCTGTGGTTCTGGACTAGCATCTTTCTGATCATCTTTATTGACTGTCATTACTGGTGGGGGTGGGGCAGTGTTACTATGATGGGGTGGGGCTGGTTTTGATTCTGTGGTTGTAGAGATCTCATCCTCACCACCTGCCAGCTCCGTGAAGAAAGACTTCAGGAAAAATACTGTATCCTATAAGAGTAAAACAAACTTTACATACTTTTGTGTTATCATTTCTTTTTTTTTTTAATAAATCTAAGGGGTAAGACAGTCTAATGGTTAAGGTGTTCCCCCTCCTGACACTCTTTGTCCAGGTTCACTTTCGATCATGATACATCAGTACTGGATAGTTCACATTGTAGCTTAAAATGAGATTTACTAGTAACTTTACCACAACTGGGCTGAAGCTTATGATATAATTTCAAATGATTTATCACCCTTGTAATGCAACAATTTTTTTTTATTACTTGGCAGGACAAAATATACTAACCTCCTACATTTGAAAACATTCATTTATTCTAACAGCTTTTACCCCAAACGAGGCCACAAATATGCAGTTACTTGATACTAGGCACTTCTAAAATTAAATTTAAGTACATATATTGATAAGTGAGTTGTTTACCTGATCTACATTAAGTCTGATTGGTTGTAATGAAACTTTGAGGGCACATTCTTCTTCTGGTACTGTTTTATCAGGTCTGCTATGTATTGCCTTTATCTGAACCTTCAAATTTAAAATATATGACATTTTATATACATAGCATACACAGAAATTTACTTTACACTACAGAAAGTCATGTGGGTAAAGATTTTGACATTTCTTTAGTGTTGTTTTTGTTTTGTTTTGTTGTAATAAAATTTTGCACATGTTTGACAGGAAGTTTTATTTATATTGTATCTAAATTTGATGATAATAAGATCTACACATTTAGTCCAGTAAGTAACAGTAAGTAACAGTACTGTGCTATAAATCATTTGTGGTTTTAGGTATGTCAAAAGAGAAAATATCAATCAAACATTGGAGGTTTAATAGCATGTATCAGTATAGAATAAATATTTTTCCAGCAGTATCAATTTAAAGTTTAAGTTACAATAGTTTTGACAAATGTTTTGCAACCTCGCAAATACTAATGGAAATAAACCATCTCACTGCTTTCAAGACAAGTACCGGTATATCAGTCCTACTTGCCAAACCAACCAGTAGTAACAGCCTGGCAGCAAAAAGGTTGATAACAAATAAAACATGTTAGTTTTGTTACATACCATGTTAGCATATGTCTGTCTGGGCATATCATCAGATGAGTACTGGTAGAGAAATTTGTTCATTTTAGATGACTTTATACGATCCCTAATTTCTATATCACTTATCAGCAGCACTTGTCTTGAGGCCTGTGTCGTGTTGTGTGGATACTCCTCGTGTTGGAAACGTACCTGTGTTATATCATATGATACATGTACATATGTGAACTTCTTTAACATTCATTAAACTTTTTTTAAGTTGTCACACTCTTTTTAGGCATACCTTTCAACAAAACTTAAGTAATTAAATGAATTTGATAACTGTTATAATAAAATCTTGATTATTTGGAATTAAGGTCAGTCACTACATACTCTAGAATTAAATTCCACTAGAATTAAATTCTAATAATACTCCAGAGTCTTCAAATCTAAGGAATATTCTTTCAAGAATTACACAGGAAAATGTCAGTTCTATTCATTAATGTTATTATGATGAATAAGTGTACATTTAAATGCACTCTGTGCTCAGATTTCAAAATATAAGCATCTAAAATACATCATGACAAAAATTATACAAACATACTTTAGATAATTGCAGCTCCATGCACTGACAATGGTTTCTACCTGGTCCCCCTTTATTCAGTAATGTTTCCCTTGGTATAAGTGAAACCTCCCTACCACCAGCATGACCTGACCATCTATCTCCTGGTGAACCTTTGTGGAATGATACACTCATACCTTCCCTATACATACATACAAAAACATACATACAAAAATATACATATTATATATATCAAATGATGAGCCTACCGAAGGTTTGTAGTAGAACCAAAACTGGTAGATAATGTATTACCTTAAACTGCATAAGTGTTGCTGTGTCCTATTTCTTCATCTACCTCTGATTTAGAATAATCAAAAGTAAAGAACAATATAACCATTGATAGAAAAACTGGTATCTGTTTATTTATATCTTGATAAAACTATTCACTTCTTTCTATCTCTTTACCCATTTAACTTACAAATAAGCACTCGACCATTTTTGAGTGAAAAGAAATGTAAATCACCTAAAACATTTCACATTTATAGCTTAATTTATACATGCAGATGTATTTTTTTTCTACTTTTAAGATAAACTACAGCAGTAAGAATTGTATCATAGTTATGTTGTTACCTGTAATTTATATCTGCCCTATCTGATGTTACTTTATCCACATCAATGAGGTCTGAACCACCATATATATACCAGACAAGGGTCAACTCCTTCAGTGCGTACCTACACACAGCCTGCGGGAAGTTCTCTGGTGCTTTCAACAGGTCTGTCCGACCAAAAGGTTTTGAGAAATAGTTATCTTTGATTTCTACAGGAGCATTTACTAGTACTCTGATTGAAGGCTCTCCATCATTAGTCTGGAAAATAAACAACCATATACAGAAAATTCTAAATAGACTAAGGGGAATAGTTCAGTAAAATATTATAGTTAAGAACTTCAACAATTATGAAGATAGCTTTTCATCAACTACATCTAAACATCAATATTCTCTGCAATATTGTCAGGGATGAATACTTACACTTTTGGCCAAGGCTGTATTGTCAAAGATGATTACTTACACTTTTGGCCCAGGTTGTATTGTCATAGATGATACTAACACTTTTGGCCCAGGCTGTATTGTCATAGATGATTACTTACACTTTTGGCCCAGGCTGTATTGTCATAGATGATACTTACACTTTTCACCCAGGCTGTATAATCATAGATGATTACTTACACTTTTGGCCCAGGCTGTATTGTCATAGATGATACTAACACTTTTGGCCCAGGCTGTATTGTCATAGATGATTACTTACACTTTTGACCCAGACTGTATTGTTATAGATGATTACTTACACTTTTGGCCCAGGCTGTATTGTCATAGATGATTACTTACACTTTTGACACAGACTGTATTGTCATAGATGATTACTTACACTTTTGACCCAGACTGTATTGTTATAGATGATTACTTACACTTTTGGCCCAGGCTGTATTGTCATAGATGATTACTTACACTTTTGGCCCAGGCTGTATTGTCATAGATGATTACTTACACTTTTGACCCAGACTGTATTGTTATAGATGATTACTTACACTTTTGGCCCAGGCTGTATTGTCATAGATGATACTAACACTTTTGGCCCAGGCTGTATTGTCATAGATGATTACTTACACTTTTGACCCAGACTGTATTGTTATAGATGATAACTTACACTTTTGACACAGACTGTATTGTTATAGATGATTACTTACACTTTTGACCCAGACTGTATTGTTATAGATGATTACTTACACTTTTGGCCCAGGCTGTATTGTCATAGATGATTACTAACACTTTTGGCCCAGGCTGTATTGTCATAGATGATTACTTACACTTTTGACCCAGACTGTATTGTTATAGATGATTACTTACACTTTTGACCCAGACTGTATTGTTATAGATGATTACTTACACTTTTGGCCCAGGCTGTATTGTCATAGATGATTACTTACACTTTTGGCCCAGGCTGTATTGTCATAGATGATTACTTACACTTTTGACCCAGACTGTATTGTCATAGATGATTACTTACACTTTTGGCCCAGGCTGTATTGTCATAGATGATTACTTACACTTTTGGCCCAGGCTGTATTGTCATAGATGATTACTTACACTTTTGGCCCTGGCTGTATTGGTATAGATGATTACTAACATTTGCGGCCCAGGCTGTATTAACATAGATGATTACTTACACTTTTGGCCCAGACTGTATTGTTATAGATGATTACTTACACTTGTGGCCCAGGCTGTATCATCAATCATACAGAAATCATCACTATCCTCCTCATCATCACTGTATGACCCAGTTAAACCAGCAGACATTGTACTGCTTGTAACAGAGGCATCTATATTTTGAGTTATAACGATGGGATCACGGAGTGTGAGTGAACCTGGAGCACTAGGGTCACTATTAGCAACAAAGAAAACTTCCGTCTGTTTAATATCTGTGCTGGAGATATCAGGAGATGCTGAAATATAAATATGTAAACATGATGTGCCTTTAACTGTTAGAAACTGCCATTAGTATTATCATATCTGAACTTTAGTTAATAGTGAAGACATATAGAGGTAAAGATCTGTTGTTTTATATGAAAAGAGAATTAGAGTAACCGAACAAATATGTAATGAAAGCTTTTTTAAAGAAATTAATGTACAAGTAGACAAAGTTATTTCAAGCTGCATTCTTTAAACTAAACCATTATCTGAAGCAATATTACCTCATGCAAATAAAAAGCACATAACATTATAGAAAGTGTACAATGTGAATTGTGAACAAACAATGGTTAACTAATTTTGATTGCTGGTGATAATATACATGCCTGTGTCATCAGTTTATAGCAATAACAGCATACAAATCACCATAACTAATAGCTAGTATTTTCAGTTTAAAAATGAAATATTAAAATTATCTTACAATGGTGAATGGACTGTTCCGAGCAATACAAGATTATTACACAAATGAAGTAACATAATTTTTTTTTTTTTTACGTCACACCGACATAGTATAGGTCATTTGGCGACGTTCCAGCTTTACTGGTGTAGGAAGACCTCAGGTGCCCCTCCATGCATTTTTTCAGGCACAAACGGGCACCTGAGTAGAACCACCGTTGTTCCGTAAGCTAGCTGGATAGCTTCCTCACATGAAAGAATCCAAAGTCCCTGTCGGATTTCGAACCCACAGCGGTGAGGGGCAAGTGGTTTGAAGTCAACGACCTTAACCACTCGGCCACGGACGCCCCTAGTAACATAAATATCAATGTTCTTACCTTCCTTAGATGATTGAGTACTGTTAGGTGAGGACTCTATCATGGCCTCTGACATCAGATTATGTACATGATCCATGCTGGATTGTGTTAGAGATGTATCCTCAGTATCACCTTCATCTTCATCATCTTCTGTCTATAATAACATATATAATCTCTAGATCTCTATAATAATATATATTAGTCACTATGTAGTGTTCAATAACCAACATCAGTGACAATTTACACATTTCAACTAAAAGACAGCATTTTCTGAAATTTTTCTGCAAATGCTGCATTTAAATAAACCAGATAAAAACATGATCTGAAAAAAACCCCAAATAATCTTGTTTTTAATTATTGATATTATTATTCTTTTGTTTTTGCTTTAAATCATCTTAATTACTTTTTTATTATTCTACATTTATACATCACACTTTTCCACACACTACATAGAACTTAACATATTTCATCTTAAGAGATTACCAAAACCTTCATTAAAGTTCTAGCAAAGTTTCAATTCTTTAAGCTTTGAAAGTTTGATAACCAACTGCTACTTTCTTGTCCTAAATACTTTATAAGAAGAGACTGACCCTTTAAATAATAAAACACGAATTGATTTTACAGTCAAACCTGTAAACAAGGCCAATTAAAAAAGATACAGGACATGGTTTTTATAGAAAAGTGGTTTTTGTTTGGGGGTTACTTTGTTCTGTTTATTAAGTCAAGTGTTGTTAAAGAGTGGCCTTTATTTACAGGATGGTCTTTATTCGGAGGTGGTGTTTAACACAAGTTTGACTATACTTACATTAGTACTATTATCTAATTCTGTGTCTCTGCGGGTGTCTGTACCAGGTTGGACTGGAGGATGTAGGTCACCATCATTAGCAACATATTTAATGAGTTCTATCAACGCCAGACAAGAATCTGCACATGTTCTAATGTTTACAAGATTTGATGATACTCGTAAGTCAGTTTTTGGATAATGCTGCAAAATAAAACATGTTATATCTTTCCTATTTTATTCTAATTTCTACTTCATCAATACTTGGAACTGTTTATAGGATTGATAAAATATTTGAATCAGTATTTTGTTAAACAAAAGTAATCTAATATTGTTGCATTATTTTCTAATATTATGGAATTGTTAAATTACTTGAATTTAAAATAATGTAATATATATGCAAGAAGTACATGGTAACTTTAGTTCATTATACTAGTAATAATATACAAGTTAAGAGGAGCTAGAAGTGAAGAAGATACATGTACATACTGGGTCATTGCTTGTGTTTGAACGTAACAAGAGTTCCAGTCTCCCTATGTCTGCCACACATACATAATCTATAATGAAGTAGAAAATGTTGGTTAATAAATAAATAACCAGGCACTTGTCCGTGCACTATCCTAGGGTTCTATCAGGCATCTTGGCAATATCTTCATCTGTATGCTTTATCTTATACACATTGCAAGCATCTAAATTGAACCTTAAACCAACACTCCTCATACAAAATCTCAGGGTGAAGGAAATTAATACATGTATATAGAGTAACATAACTAATAGAAAGATTCAGCATTATTAAATTTATGAGAAGAGAAAGGAACCTTCAACTCCTATTGAAATCTTATTATACAGACTATGGACTGATATGTATTACTGTTGTATATTTCTTTTGCAAATACTAGAATATGTAAATATCAACAAAATAAGTATGGTCATTCACATGCACAGACACAGGATGTATCTATAAGCAACTTATAATTATCATAAAAAACTTTTATCAATTTTCCTCTTCAATCTAGGTTTTATTACACATGAATATAATACATGTATATACCTTTCCTCAAATTTGTTCTTTGACTTTTAATTTTCTTTGATATATACAAGGCCCCATCATCCAACACAAACCTGCAATTCAATACAGAACATCAATTTTTTGTACTTTTAGTGCATTACTACATAATATCACAATAAAATAACTCATATTGTCACCCTATTGCAATAACTGGTTAACTCCTATTAAATTTAGAAGGACTTAACCTGTTACTGCACTAAAGTGATGAATTATGTATGAATAATATGTTTGAGATTATATACACAATAGATGTAAATTCATTATCAATTTAAGAATAAATTTGTGAACATGAATTTTTTTTTTTTTTTTTTTTATTTTTTTTTAGTATGTCATAGTAATTTATTTAACATGAAATTTAAAATTGTTACAATCCCCACAAGATTGATTTAATCAGGATGGATATAAAAGATATTGTAAAATGCAAATGTACATTCTTAATTTTCTGTCACCTTCAAAATAACATAAACAAAACTACCAGCTATTTGTACTTGCAAGTTAAGTTTATTATACAGTTTATTAATGTGTAGTTTACATGTCACAGCTTTTAACTCTAGTTTTTATGTATGTTCACATTTACAAAAACATTTATGAAGAATAAAACATTACATTTTTTAATTTATATACATATAATTTAAGCATAATTTATGTTTACATTAAGCAATAATTACCTTAACAATGAAATGGAAGACTCAGTAACAATGTTACTGGATATGGAAAATGAATCAGCTAATATCACAGATCGTATGGGAAGAAAACTAGGTCTGAAACAAATATGTATTGTTTGTTATAATATTTTAATACAAATATCTGCAATAAGTGTAATTCAACAATGATACAAAATTTTAATTTACATACAAGACTACTGTATTTGATATTTCAGGAATGTTGTCACATGCAATTATTGGTTGGTTGGGTTTGACATTGTACCAACACGTCATATATAAAAGTCATATGATGAGTTTTTTAAGCTTTACCAGTAAAGAAAGACCTCAAGTGCCCCTCCGTGCATTACTTCTTGTATGAAAAGACACTTTATAAGAATCATTGATGTTCAATAAGCTAGCTTCGAAAGAGTCCAAAGTCCCTGGCAGGATTTGAACCTCAGCGGTGAAGAGCAAGTGGCTTGAAGTAAACATCTTTAAACACTCAGCCACGGATGCCCTTATTAAAATCATTGTGACATTAGATAAATCAAATCATGTAACATCACTGTATATATCAGATCATTGTAAATAACAATCCAGTAATAATTACTGTATACATGAATATCAAATCAAGTGTTATTGTATATGTCAGATCAAATAACATTTACTGTATATATCAAGTGATATTCAGGGATACATAAAATCAAGAGACAATCATTGTCAATGTATATATCTTCTCAAGTAAAACTGGGCATATCAAATCACATGATAATCATTGTATATACATGTACATATATCAAATCAAATCCAGTCACATTATTTGGATATATCAGATTAAGTTATCCACTGGAATTTAGTAAATCCAATTAGATGTTATTAATAATTACAGTTCATTGACAAATGTGTAGAAATGTAGACAGTTTAAATAAAATATTACCTATAGTCTATTGCACATGTCCACAAATGCACATGAAGTTCTGTAAGAACTTTAGGATCTACATATCCTAGTATAGGATAATCTTTTACATCCAGAAAATCCATCATCTGAAGATAAATATAAAACTTTCTTTTAGCACAAAATACCAAAATAAATTTGAACATTCAATCAGGTTATATGAACATTATTTTCAAAACAGATTCAAGGAAACATGAAATATCAAATTATATTGAATTGAACTCTTCTCTAACAGCTTACTTCCATTGTAACTGACTAACTTCTAACTTTAAAGTTATCTTTTCTTTGCTATATTTTCAGTAACACTGTTGCTGTTAAAGTCAGTCATATGGGAATTTCAAGCTTTACTGGCGGACAAGGTTCTTAGATCTCACTCCATGCAGTATTTCAGACCAAAGCAGACACCTGAGTAGAACTACCATCAATCTGTAAGCTAACTGGATAGCTTCCAGAGATGAAAGAATCTTAAGTCTCTATAGAGATCCAAACACACAGCAGTAATGGGATAATGAATGGAAATATGGAAACCTTTCCCACTTGACCATAAAGACCACTGCCAGTATTTAACTAACAGTCTCCCAATCAGATATAAAAATCTCACACCATTTAAGTATTTGCATAATCTTGAAGTAAGTGAGAACCACAAATGTAATGATTACTCCACTGTTCATCGTTATTACAGTGAATTGTGTATGTTATTATTGTGTTTAGAAGAGTTATATCATAAATACCTGAACAAAAACATTACAGTATGGTGGAGACATCTTATGTCTCATTGTTGCTCCTTTCACACCCACGGACACCAGAAATTCCTGAAATAATCAAATAATAATTATTTGATGAAGTCAGGTCAACACTGTAAAGGTCATATTCTGACTTCCCAGTGAAACCATTAACATTATGTAGGCTAGCTTGAGTGTTTCCTCAATGGAAGAAATCACAGACATTGGTGTGATTTGAATTTACGACAGTGAGATGCAGATCAGTTATAGTAAGAGACCTTAGTCACTTGACCAAGGAGGCCTCTAGAAACCACCTATGATATGTTTAATATAACTGGTATAAACAGAATGTAAAAGAAATTTCTTCAAAATGATTTTCTGTGAATAACAGCCTATTTTTAAAACTATAAATATATGCCATACTAATGATATAAAAATATAATTGTTTACCTTAACAATTTCATCAGCTGTTAAGTCTTTCTTTGATGTTAAAGTGTCTAGTTTGATTTTAAGAGCCACTGATACCATATCTTGTGAATCAGTACCGGTTCCTATATCTTCTCTAGTGTTGACAAGTACACCAGGCTCGGACCGGTAGATGACATGGTTGTGTTGAAGATGTGGAGGTACAGGTGCGGTTAACTCACCACACTCTATCAATGGCAGCATCTCTGTGTTTGATACACAAGCTGAAATAGATGAACATGAGGTAGTACATCATCTATTACTTTAATGTATGATACTTCACTGAGTCATTTTACAGTTATTTTTGTTCTTTTTTAAAAAATGGAAAAAAATGGTTGTGCTTAAAAATAATTCTGAAACTGACATAATGCTTTTCAGCAAAATCTAACCTTACTGAAATGTTCTTTCCACATGGCATTTATTCAATAAAAACTGATATACAACAGAAGTTTTAAATCCTACCACTATGATAGAGGTCAGCTCTGTTGACAAGGACATTGACAAACTGAATGTTAGGATCACCATTGTGAGCAGAAACAGTAAACAGGAGAAGATCTGATATCTGTACCAACACTTCACCATGTGAATCCTGCTGTATACAACCATTTGTATCCTGTAATATATATTATATATCAAGTGTGAATGTAATATGTATCATATATCAGATGTGAATATCAACTTGAAACATCAATGATAATATACAAACAATACACACAGCACCATGAGGTTACAACTATTGTCATTATCTAGCATGTTTTATTGATAAAGTAACTGGTATTATATTATTATAGCTATAAAAAGTTAGGTGCATATAATAAGATATATCATATTTTAGTTTGTTTGGTATTATACCTATTTTTAACATATGTTTTGGTCATATCTCAGCAGTCAGCCTTTTTTGGGGTTTTATAATGTACCAACACAGAATAGATCTTATGGCGACTTTCAAGCCTTACTGGTGGAGAAAGACCTAAGGTGCCTTTCCATGCATTATTTCAGGCACGAATGGACACCTGAGTAGAACCACCGACATTCCATAAGGTAGCTGGACAGCTTCTTCAAATGACAAAAATCCAAAGTCCCTGTAGGGATACAAACCCACAGCTGTGCGAGGCAAGTGGTGGTCTGAAGTCAACAACCTTAACCACTTGACCAGGGACGCCCCAGTCGGTGTAGCTAAAATGCTTTCCCGGATAATCTAACCAGTGATAACCAATTTCTCTGCAAGTGACTGACTACTAATCCCAAATTATATTTTAGACAAAGGAAACAACATATGTGATATTACCTTGCTATCTGTGAATGCTGTCAATCTTCCTTTCCCAATGTTTAGATTAAGGCACAGTTTACTCTGTTGTTGTCTTGGGGGACGTTTCCGTCGTGAATATCGACTGTCATGTATACTGTAGTGATTTATACTCTCATCATCATCAGAGTCAGATTCTATAATATATATTTATACTTACTCTACAGTAACATAGATATAAAACATGGTATGTAGTATCAAATGATTCAACTAGTATACAATAATGTTTAAAAAAGATTGTGCATCTTACACCACTTATATAGTCATACCATTTTTAAAATAAGAATTGGCTGTATCTGCAGGTGTTTGAAAAATCTGAATCTAAGCAATATCAGATCATGTAAATGTATTTAAGCTAGAGTGGGAAACAACTTCTTCCAACTTATATTAATCACTTTTGATTTCGCTTCCTGGAACCAACCAGTATAGGCATCATATGAAGAAACATTGTTGTGACCCAATAAGGGCTTGAACTCATCATCCCTGTGTTGAGAGGCAGACACCTTAACCACTAGGCCACCGCTCTCCTTGAGTTGAGAAATGTTAAATCTGTAAAATGCTACAGGCAATGTTCTCAACCACAACTTGGACATGCAATCATAATAGAATATAAGAATGTATTACCTATTTGTATACCAGATTTTGCCATTGAGAAATGTTCACCTGTATGCAGTGGACTATAAACATTAACATCTACAGTGTTAGTCATCATATAATGATCACGTTGTACTGTTACTGGGGCTGGAGCACTTGGTTCCCATAGCAACATATCATTGTTTAACCTGAAAATACATAAAAATTCTAGTCATTTTACAAACACTAAATATAACAATCTGATGTGACACTGTTAAAACAAGTAACTGGATAACACAAGAATTGAAAATAACCTGAAGAGAGATGCAAATTGTTCCTCTACTAAAATCCAGTTATCTTAAATTATTTTTTTAATAAAATCACTCGCCTAAATTTATTGTTACTAATCAATATTTAGTTTGTCACATACAATTTGAGAAATCCCAAAATGTTCTTACAGAATACTTTTTGTCATGCAGCCTCCTATGGCAAGAGGGGTACAGAAATTACTCATTATTTTGAAAAGAAGTAATTCCTCTACACAAAATATAACATTATTATATTGCCAATGTATAAGTCATCTTTTCCACATTATAATCATTGAAGAAACCATTCCTCTGGAGTTTAATAAATATGTCATTTAGAATATGCAGTTTGCACTTAACAATGGTATAATTGCCTGGTACTGGTATCCCAACACATTTATATGCAATTATGTGCTTGTATGCATGACATTTTACTCATTAGACAGTTTACTCATTAAAGCAATTGATACAATTCGGATATACAGGACAAAATCTGGTACATGTATTTAAATCAGCTTTCATCGCATTGTCTTTTTATCTGTCCACTGGCAATATTATTGCAGAACCCTAATAAGGGTCTCATATAGTAGTTTACCCATTTTATATCTTTACTTATCAGATACAAACGATTACTTAAATATCAAGCATTTGTATGAAAAATATCGGTACTGCTTTTGTCTGAGAACTACTCATATATCAGACACTTCTTACTTTATTCCGTAAAAAAGTAGTACAGACTATATTCCTAAACATTGTAGAGAGTAAACAAATGTGTTATATAAACACTGATACCTGTTGTAGAGGATTTCAAAGAATTGTTGGTTTGGCAAGAAAGCAACAAGGTTTGGAAGTACTATTTCTACAACCATCTTTGTGTTGTTGACAGACTTCTGTATGAACTCATTAAGTTCATCCCTATCTGCTGGTAGCACCATCTATAATAACAGTAATATTAAATGTAACATTATATTTCCAATAATATACATATAATTAAAAACTTATATTCCTTAATAAAACAATCAGCAAAATTCGTTGCTGGATTTTGTATCATGTTGACACACATATTCTAAATTATGTGGCAAATTTTATTTCTTTCTCTCAGGTGTAAGAACACAATGTGCCTCAATGTATAGAACCACAATGGCTTGGTCTTCTATCAAACTGTAACTCAAACAATAAAGATTCAAAATCTGACAGTTATGTTGATACTATTTTCACATCCAAGGTGTTATAATAAACCAAAATTGCATGTATTTTACAAACAATAAGACTTTTATAATAGAATAAAAAGCAAAATGGTCAGATCAATTAATGATAGGACCTGTTCTGTTTTTTCCATTGACTCCTGTTGATCGGTGTCATGCATGTTACGCCGTGATGAGAACGGGGAAGGTTCACTCCTGGCAAACTGGCATGCTCCGTTCAGGGAGTCTAGTGGTATTGTATCATCCATGTAGATCTCCTCCTCTAGCACTGATGTTGTAGTGTTACAGAACTTGACAGTGATTGTAGGATTGTTAAACCCATCCTCTCCACCTTCCCCACTTACATGAGCAAAATGTTGACACTCATCTGTACCAGTTTGTTTGTAATAACCTACAGTTCATCATATACTAGTATTATATAAGGTGTGTAATATATAGTTATACATTGATATCATCAAATGTTCTTATTGCAATAATAATAGGAAATTAGTCAGTATCCTTTGTAATTATGTAAAAACAGTTTACAACAGATAACACTTAACAATAATTGTACAATTGTACAATAATAATGTTATTTATCTAATCATAAACACAAATTTAGAGGTTAATAAACTAGTTAACCACAAATGTAACTATTTCTATTGCCTTTCATGACAAATTAACATGTTCTGAACCAATTTTATTTATACCTACAGTAAACCAAACATGGTAACAATAAATATTTCCTGGTGCAGCACATCCATACAGAAATGTTAATTAGTTTAGGCTAAAATAGATTTTTTAATACAAATGTATGTACAGTTTGTGTAGGAAGCTAAAAGAATACTGAAACACTCTTGTATCTATTCCTGGAACCAATCAGTACTTAGCAATGAGTGTAAAGTTTCTTACCCACAGACACAATACGGCTTGCCCCTGACAAGATTTGAACCAATCCAGCTTGCAATCTTAGATTACAAGTATGATGTGTTAACCACTTTGCTGCCATTCTGACTTTGTTTTAGGCAAGTCATTTTGGATAAGAAACATAAGATTACTTAGACAAGCAATCTTAAATTTACATTTAAGTTTAAACTCATCAACACTTTGCTCAACTTTAATTTGTTTTGAAATAAGGGGCACATAAGGGGCATATAGAACGATATCTAACAGCATGAATAAACTTATTAAAACTACAAGGCACGTAAACATTAATAAATCCTTGTATATCATTACAACATAAAAGATTAAGTTAATTATCAGTTAATGTTCACATTTACCATGGATATCTGAGGCTGAGATTTGAACTTGCTCCAAGGGTTGACTGGTAACAAAAGCTGTTCTTACTACAGCAGTCTCTAGATCTACAACTAAAATATCATCTCTAAGGTTACGCTGATACCAAGACTTGTCTACATGAGGTTCTTGACGAAGATCTGGGATAGGAAACCTGAAATATAGAACAGGACAAGACTTTATGTGGTACTTGATCAATTGAAAATAAAGATGTCAGTCTTAGAAATAGCTCTTTTTTTTCATTGCTTCTACAATTCATTTTTGCAATTTATATATCAAAACTCATTTAGATCAAAACAACTTATTTAAGTTGAGTCCCATTTAAGTTGAAGTCAACCCTATTCCATGAAGTACATGTATTTTAATTGGTACAGTGCAAAAGTTCACCCCTTAAAAAAAATCCATCAAATTTTGAAAAAGAAAACTTGCAAAAACAATCTTAACTGGTGGAGCAATGTTGTTCTAAATAAAGGAAAGTCCTGGAAACCAAATTACCCCTTTGTCGCTTTGGAGTTAAGCTTCTATTGCAACCTACTCAGCTACTACTTAGCCGGTGATGTCCTGACTAAAGCTGAGGAGTTGCCTTACAGAGGAGGCAGAGACAAGCCTTACTGTCTAAGGTTACTGTACATTTTTGTTCTAATTTGCAGCTGTACAGTGACCTACTTGATTGAGAATTCCTATCTTTGGCTAATATCAGTGGAACATTCATGGAGGTAAATTATCGCCACTTTTTGCATAAAAATTAACCCTTTAACCTTTTACCCCCATGAGCATATTGCGAAAAATGGCGTTTTCATTGAAAAGCCTCCTGTAACAAGTTAAAACTGCTATGAAACTTTGAAAAATGCTTCAATACTGATGAAACTTGGCACAAATGTTGACTAGACCATAGCCTCTGTAACAGCATGCTCAATCGTAAATTTCCTGTTACCACGGCAATGGGGGGACGTCTTAAAATTGCCAAAAATCACTATTTTGCATTGTTTTTTTCCATCAAAACTGATTTCAAAGAGCTGCAACTTCTCAATGAATTGAGATAGAGTAAAAGGCTTTTCAGCGTTGGTTACTAGTTACCCTAAGATCGACCTGAGGCCATTTTTAGCCTGTCACACGTCCAAAATTTTCTTGGCGATGAGGGGGACTGCCTTCCCCCTTCAAACCCCCCAAACAGAAGGGGGCACATCCCCCTTCTGGCAACCCCCTGATGTAACATTTGAATGGGGGACGGCGCTGAAAATGTGGTCACTTTTTTTAACAACATTTCTCAAACGAAAAACAGTGTTTGGGGCCTAAATAGGACGTTTTTTCACTGTTTGAGGCCTCAAAAAAAGGGGGCGGGGGGGAAAAGCCGTTGAAACATGCTTATATAAGGAAAAAGGTTAAGGGCATGACTGGTGACATGTCCCAGGTCCGTACTCAAGAGGGAAAGCTGCATTTTGTGCCTTAATGGGTGGATGGACCCTCATTAAACGTAGACTACAGAACAGTACAGATTTTAAAGTATTTACCTTATGTTGATCTTGGCAAGAGAGCTGGTTACCTCTATGATAAACCTCTGATCCTCAGTAGCACTTCCTTCATCTAGAGTCTGGGTTAAACTATAATCAGTCTAAAATAAAGAAATAGTAAAGACAATAAAATTGCCAATTGACAAATATTCAACACAATAAATATATGGACACAAAGTAAGTTTTGTGAAATAAACTTTTAACAAACCTTGATGAACTTCTTATATTGGATCATTTCCAGTTTATAATGTGAAGCTATATTGAATATTAAAGAAACTATTACTATGATAATTATTGTATATGGGTAAATCAAATTATTCGTAGTGATAATTCATTCTTGTTCACCCCTCCAGTATAATATCCCAGCCAACTTTGACATTATTTTTTCAGGTATCGATACAGAGTTTATTCTATCTTAACTTCCTTCAACAGCATGATATGTTTAACAAGTCAAGACTCTTATAGACAATATTGAGTTGATAATGACATTACTTACCCCTAAAAATGATATTTAATTCAATATTTTCATTGCATTATACATACTTAAAGGTATGGATTTAAGTAAATATTGTACATTTTACTTACCCCTACAGTATGATATAACGAAGCTCCAGCTAAGGGAGAATCTGTCACTATTTTTTCAGGGGTGATTATTGTGTTGATTCTATCTACTAGTGTAACATCAAGCTCTATCTGTACCTGACCCAATGTCACACTTATATCTGTCTCTGGCATGTACCCGGGCCGAGAAGATCGCTGTATTAATAAAGAAAGTTTTTTCGTATTATTCAAAGTTTACTAAAAATCTACATATTGTAGATGCTCAATTGTCAATAATACAAGCAGAATATGTAAGCTCTAAATCATGTTGTTTCATACAAAAAGATTTTAAAATTTGTGTATTGAATCAATGCAAACTTTATTAAGTGACCCTCATGAACTGAAGGGACCAAATTTGACACTAGGTACATGATAAATGTCACTTTTGAAGACGGCTACAAAATATACATATACCACATATCAAATATCTAAGCTCTTGCCATTTCTATTTTCTGAGAGAAGATATCAATGATTTCACTTTCTAGGTGTATATTTAGTTTATTTACAGAAATTATTGATACTGATGTATGATGTATACCACACATTGGCTGACATAACATGAAAGTAAGATGATCACAAAAGTCCTCCTCTGAACATTTTAGGGTTCAGATGAGCTAAAATGTAGAATGTTACATTGTACTATGATACTAAAATCACCAACAAATTAGGATAGCTCTCCCTGTTGCATTAATGTATCAATACTTAAATAATTAAATTCTATGATATATTTTTTTGTTCACATGGTACTTTTAATGACTACATATATTTGAATGCAACATGAAATACTCATTTTCTCTATACTATTATGCATATTCCTTAAATAGCATCTGATTCATTTTTTATTCAAAACATCATGTTTTTTATTAATTTTTCACTAAAACATAATTATTATATCATGATATTAAATCACAGTGTCAATATCATGCTTATTATCAATTGATGAATCATGTATCATCGGCATTCTATTGGATAAAGTAAACATTAGGCATGGTCTTATATAGAAAATAAACTTAAAACAGTCATATTTGTATCACTTGTCATTTATTTTCACCATGTGACACAATAATTATTGAAACATTTTCTTTTTACCAATGATTGTAAAACATATATCCTGAATTTCTCATTTACATGTATGTATATTTAATGATGTCTATATTATGGAATTTCCCCTTAAAATAATGATATCGCCTGATATAAGAATGTTTCATGCACTAAAGCAAACTATTTTGAAAAACATTTGAATCTAGAACTCTATAAAATAAATAATACATGTACATGCAAATACATAACCCCTGAATCTGGTGAATAAATCATTACTGGGTAAGTAACAATTTCTTCAGGTTTATTTATACATATATTTTTTCCCCCACCAAGTTTATTTAAAACTAGAGAGTCAGTGATATTACACTGATCATAATTTAATCATTATAAATAATAGTATGTTTCCATATGTTATTGTTATTTATGTTGTTTGAATGTGAATATGGCTGCATTAGAACTACAGTAAACTCTGCTTTCAACAATATTCGGGAAACCGCAAAATTTATATTGCTCTATCCAACATATGGCAATATCCGAAAAGGCAGCCACATACGTTTTTGTAAACCTATCATTAATATATGTTAAACAATATAAAGCTAAATCCCTCATTTCCCTCAGTGGCAGTGTGGCCAAGTGGTTAACACATCAGACTAGTAATCTAAGGATTGCTGACCTCGTGGGTTCAAACCCTGTCAGGGGCAAGCTGTTGTTTCCTTGTGGTATATATTAACACCATTTACTGAAAAATGTCAGCAAGTTTCCATTGCATGCGTTTTTGTATCAAAGTTGTCAGATTTTTAAACTTTTCAAGTGCAATGAAATGTCCTGAATGTCATACACAATATCTATGATTGTGAGATATCATGTTGTTTAATTTACATACATGTAGTAAGCTGTATATTGTAATTACTGGACCACTAGATGGAACAATGAAAGATATATATCACTGTAAGTGATGTCTAAGTTTTCTGAGGATCAAAAATATCGCAAAAATTTGATTTCTTCGTATAACAGCTTCACTGAATAATGACCGCAAATTTCTATTGCTATATGTCGAACATCTTTTAAGCGATGTCATAGTAAGTGGTGATTACTGTATTTCCTCATACTAACCATTTACAACCAATACATTGATTTCTTTTGTATAAAGAACACATTTGTGATGAGTTGAACACTAGCTGCAATAGGTAGACTTGTGTTCCCAGTATAGAGCCAGGCCAGCTTTCACATCCATAAAATCTGACCAGGCTTTATACTGCTGACTACACAATTTTAATATTTTACTACTGAACTTAATGGGTGAAAGGAGTTAAACTACTAATACGCAGATCAAAATCCATATATACACATTAACAATTATTAAGTGTCTTTCTGAAACGAACCTTATTTCTTGAGACAGTTTTAACTTGCATGTTAAAGGAGGGACTGCCTCCCTGCATACTGCTATACATGGGTACCTTCTTAACTTCTGAACCATCTCGGAAAAATGTCAAAATCTGAAAATAAACAATAAATGGTAAATTGATTAAAAAAATTTCTCCTGTTTCTGAAGCCTGAGAGAAGCACAGAAAAATTACAGTGTGTAGCAATGAAGATGTTAGATATATAACTGCAATCTAATACAAAGTGAACAAACCATGGACATATAAATCTAAAAGCAATTCAATAACATGACAAATTATTATAAACAAAAGATAATGAATACCTCTACATGATGTAAGAGGGTGATAAATTATAGAACTGAAATAATTAGCCAATGGCATCTTATCTAACAATATGTAGGAACTTCTGCTTCAGGATTATGATGAATACTGGTAAAATTATTTATCAATATAATGTTGACAATTTCATAGATTATTAACTCCTATTCATTATATAACAGTATACCAACTTTCCCAGTTACAACCCAACAGAAAGAAATTCTGTATCATTCACAAGTGTGATGCAGGGCAACATTGATGGTTATGGTTGAATATATAGTTTAAATTTGTGGGAGGTATTTAATAAAAGCGAGATGATAAAAAATATATTAATTTGGTGTATAAAGAGGTCATCTTATCTAAGCAAATACAAATAATATTATAATTATCAGAACAATATATTCTTCGTTCACATTTTGCTACCTATATAGCAAATTAGTTCACATTCAGTGCTTTCTTCATGTAATACACATATCCATCATTACAACATTATAAACTTTGAGAGAAAATATTATTTATTTGCCTTAAATGTATCTATATGTTAAAGGCACTCCACTGAGGTATTTTAACATGATCAGGGACTGAAAATATTTTTTCCAGATAAATGTACCATTTGATGTAGGTTTAGACCACTAATCTTTGTGCAAAATTTCAGATCATTCACGCACTTTGTTTTTCCTGAATAATTATTCAAATTGTAAAAAAATGACCCAAATTGAAAGGCGTTTAAATGCTTTTCACTCAAATCGGGCTAAGAAAATCATTAACATACGATGTTCAATTTATTTCATAGAATATTTCTTAACTATCTTTGCATATATTTCTGTTTAAACTGCCCCAGCTCATTTATGTAAGAAATTCAAATGTTATGTTTTTAGGCTTTTAAACCTTAGTGGAGTCCCTATAAGTTATTGCTGTGTTTTTTTGTCTCTCAGAAACAACTAATTGACTATCACAAGAACCATTAAAATGATTTAAATTAATCTTATTACAGTTACAATGCTTTCACAATGACAATGGTATGATTCATATCACTTTAAAACAATGTTATAATAATATCAAATTTACAAGGACTAGTTTCAGTATTGACTGTATAGCCTTTGATTATGAAACCAAATGAGCCGCGTCAAGACAAAACCAACATAGTGCGTTTGCGACCAGCATGGATCCAGACCAGCCTGCGCATCCGCGCAGTCTGATTAGGATCCATGGTGTTTGCTTACAGACCCTATAACAAGTAAAGAAACTGATAGCGAATAGCATGGATCCTGATCAGACTGCGCGGAGGCTCAGGCTGGTCTGGATCTATGCTGGTCGCAAAGCCATTATGTTGGTTTTGTCATGACACGGCTCGAATTATAATTTATATTTAGGTCACCAATCATGACATTATGACCAGAAACACAGCTATTTCATCATCTTACTTATCATAAAACAATAAACATGGCTCTATATGTTTTTTCTTGCCACAATGTATCATACTCCTTATTGTGTGAATAATTAATAAAAAAAACCCAAAAAACAACAAATAACAAAGAGAGTAGGTTATCCTGGAAAATCAAAAATAAAGCACGAACATGAAATTATAATACATTAGTTGATTGTATCAAAAGAGAAACATAGCCATTCACATGTCATGAAGATTCAAGTGTTTGTTGTTGACCAGTACAATCCAATTTATCAAATATTTTACACATCCTTTATCCTCTGATATAAATCTGAGGAAAAGGCAAACCTACAATGAGGGCACTTAAAAAAGTTTTTAGACCTCACTTTGGAATACATTTTTACTTCTTCTTTCGGTGAGAACTTTTTAAAGTGTCCTTGTACTTATTGTCTGAGGTTAAGCCTTTATACATTGTAAATGTTTGCTAAGAGCAACAGTAGCATTAAAACCTCCAGTACACAAACCATGTAATTATTCTTAGAATTGTAGACTTTACTTGAAATATTCATTATTTACTTAGACATGATAAATCACATTTAAAAATAACTGAAACCCATGAAAATTGTCTGTACTGAGGAATATCATTGTCCTTCTTCAAATTTAATTTGAAACAAGACTTTTTATAACTTTTAGTTAAAGCAACAATAATGTTGGTTCCGTACTATCAAAAGGCATTTGTGTATATGAGCTACGTCACAACAAAACCAACATAATGCGTTTGCCACTAGCATAGGTCCAGACCAGCCTGCGCAGTCTGATCAGGATCCATGCTGTTCGCTTACAAGCCCTATAACAAGTAGGGAAACTGATAGCGAACAGCATGGATCATGATCAGACTGTACGGATGCGCAGGCTGGTCTGAATCCATGCTGGTCGCAAACGCACTATGTTGGTTTTGTCCTGACGCGGCTCATATATATCTTACATGACTTTACACTGACGTCTTATAATTAATGTTTTGATGGAATAAACTATATACAAGTTCAATAGTTAATCAGAGCAAGTGAATACCACAAAATTAGCTTATTAATTTTCATTTGATCGGGTATTTAGTACATATAATGATCATGTTGTGAATTCCCAGCCTAATTGTGTAAGAAAGACCTCAAAGCACGAGTGGACACCCGAGTATTGTCCCAATGTAATCTAGCTTTTTAGCTCTCTCACAGGAAAGAATATAAAGTCCCTTGCAAGATTGAACCTGCATTTCAATGTTGGACAACATTTAATTCAACATGTTATTATAGACTTTTATGTTGTTTTTCTTGGTTGGGTTTTATGCTGCACCAACTGCTGCATTTTTGGTCATAAAAATTATGGTGACTTTCCAGCTTTACTGGTAGAGGAAGACCTCAGGTGCCCTTCTGTGCAATATTTCAGTCACTAACAGGCATCTGAGTATAACCACCAACATTTTGTAAGCTATTGGATAGCTTCCTGACATAAAAAAATGGGTCAAAGACAGAAAAGGCCGGGTTGCATAGGTACACAAAATATCATGAGGCTGTGAATGGTTACTTAAATTTTCTACCACTGACCATTGATGTTGAAAATTTAACTAAGTCAGTAAACCGGAAGTGGATGAGCAACAGACCTGAAATGGAATCCCACAATATTGGACCACATGTAAATGCTGTGAACCACATATCAAGAGGTTGTGGTAAGTAGTTGCTGAGAAAACTGTTACGAAAATTTCTTACTATTGATCATTAATTATGTCAAAAATTTAACTAACTTGGCAAACAGGAAGTGGATGAGCTACAGACATAAAATCAAATCCCACAGTATGGGACCCTGTGTTAATGCTGTATACCAATATCATAAGGCTGTGATAAGTAGTTGCTGAGTAAACTGTTACGAAAATTTCCTACCATTGACCATTAATGTTTAAAATTTAACTAACTTGGCAAACAGGAAGTGGATGAGCGACAGACCTGAAATCAAATCCCACGGTATGGGACCATGTGTTGATGCTGTATACCAAATATCAGAAGGCTGTGATAAGTAGTTGCTGAGTAAACTGTTACGAAAATTTCCTACCATTGACCATTAATGTTTAAAATTTAACTAAGTTGGCAAACAGGAAGTGGATGAGCGACAGACCTGAAATCAAATCCCACGGTATGGGACCATGTGTTGATGCTGTTTACCAAATATCAAAAGGCTGTGATAAATAGTTGCTGAGAAAACTGTTACGAAAATTTTCTACCATTGACCATTTATGTCGAAAATTTAACTAAGTCGGCAAACAGGAAGTGAATGAGCGACAGACCTGAAATCAAATTCCACATTATGGGATCACATGTTAATGCTGTATGCCAAATATCAAGAGGCTGTGATAAGTAGCTGCTGAGAAAACTGTTAAGAAAATTTCCTACCATTGACCATTAATGTCGAAAATTTAACTAAGTCGGCAAACAGGAAGTGGATGAGAGACAGACCTGAAATTGAATCCCACATTATGGGACCACATGTTAATGCTGTATGCCAAATATCAAGAGGCTGTGATAAGTAGCTGCTGAGAAAACTGTTACGAAAGTTTTTTCCCCACCAGCCCGTCCGCCCGCCTGCCGCCCAACATTCACCATACTATAACCTGGGTTTGCACCTGTGCAACCAGGCCAAAAATCCAGCTTCTGTCAGGATACAAACACACAGCATTGCGGGTCAAGTGGTATGAAGTAAACAACCTTAATCACTCTGTCACGGACACCCTTTATTTAATAGACTTGATGACAGTTTTTCAACAGTTATGTTCTGGAACACAAACTAATAGTAAATTATGTAATTAATATGCTGGATTACTGTTATGATCACAACTGAGGGAGTTTTTGTCTGGAAATATGTTTGGGATAAACTACATACCCAACTGACCCTTAACCTACTGAATTTGTGTAATGGATTTGCCCTGCTTTGATTTGGAACAGTCCATTCAAAGTTTAAGGGATTTCAATACATATATTACAATATAAAACTGAGCTAACATCAGTACAGAAGCTGGCCTGTCTACAATAAATGAGATAACCTCTTGGAGCATCCATCCATTGATCTTGATAACAGTATTTTATGTGAAGGTTCTTGAGTGGTGAAGTGAACTCCAAGTTACATATTTCTATGTCAGAATGACATCAATGACATATTTAACCCCATTTTAAGTTTAAGTTCAAACATATCATACTGTGGGAACTACTAGGCCCTTCACTTTATGTAGGCAGGCAAAAGGGAAATCAATCTTTGATTTAAGTCAACTTTATTGATACTGACTGTGTCAAAGTTAAGCCAATGACTGGAATGTAATCATGACAATCTTAGGATTGAAACTGATCATTAATTAAGGCTAAGAAATATATCCAAATGGTTCAACTCCCACAAGTGGCAGAATCAGTTTAAAGTAATTTCTAATTCTGTATAAATCAGAACAAAGTAAGTGTACACCTCTATATAGATAAACTGTTTTTGCCAAATGAAAAGTGTACCCTGTCTATAAAAAAAGTTGTACATGTTGTAATTCCTTGCAAACAAATGTTATTTTACATATAAGTCTATATGTACATTTCAAACTTTAAATATAAACTTACTTAACCCTAAAAAGGGAAAAACCAGAAATTTGTATGTTCAAAAAATTCAAATGTATCCATCAATGTGAACAATTATATTTAAAAAAACTCCCTTTACAGTATTGAAATATTAGTCATTTCTCTGGAAATCAAAACAAAAATTTATTCATATGTTATAAACATAATAAAGCGTAATAATTACGCAGAACCCATTATTTGATGTTGCCTACTTTATTGAGTGACAATAGATAAACATCATCCACACGTCAATCAACGGAAACAAATAGATCCTGTACTATCTATAGAGTGTTATAAGTGTACAACATCCGTCCATTTACTTATCCTTAAAACTTTAAAACAATATATAATTTCATTAATCATAGATTTACCCAGTACACATTCTGAGTAATGTTAGTAAACAAGACACTGTAACTTGCAATCAGTTTTTAAGGAGAACACAGAGGAATTACTTACATATGATATAAGGTAATTTTATAATTTGTTTATTAACTATTAAAATAATTGAGAGAAAAAAACAACAAACAAGATAGCTTTGTATTAAATATTTTAACACCATTAGCTGACATATTATTTTTATTATTATTCTGATTATTGACAGAAACAGAAAGACAATACATTTGATTAATTGTTTCCTTTTTCTTTATTGTAGAATATTTCAAGGGGGGAAAATGCCAGGAAAGCTACATCTTGTGCTGGTGTTTGTACTGTACATACCAGAAGTTTACTGTGCTACAAAACTGATACACCAATCTAACACTGAAGACAATTCTTCAACAGTACACAGCATAAAACATTATGATAGATACATCCCCAAGATAAATAGTGATGCTAAAATGATGTTTGAAAATAGAATTGCTGAATTAAATAAGATACAGTTACATTTGTTTGACCGAATAAAGCGAAGAGTAAAACGACCAAAGAGTCTTTCCAGCAATGAGTATCTTCCACTACAAAACAAATTAACAGAATGTGCTGTTGACACAAGGATATGTGACTGCTACAGAGATGTTAAGACAAACCAATCAAATATCAACTGCCGTTATAAGAATCTCTACAACATACCAGAGTTTAAATCTGTTGATACCATTTATCATAAAATCACATTCAGTGCCAACAACTATATAAAAAGCCTTCCTACTGGAGCGTTTAGGAATCTAAAAGTTGAACAAATAGACCTTCTTAACAACAAGTTAGCACAAGTACAATCAGGAGCATTTCAAGGCTTAGAACCTTACCTGTATGAACTACTAATTGAGGGGAATGGAGTACCTGGAGTTGAAATTCCTTTTCCAGTTATGTCAGTCCTAAGAAAACTGCGTCGACTCAAAGTTAAAAATTTCAAACAAGACAGCATATCAAGCTCAAACTATTTTCCATACTTTCCAGACCTTGAAGCTCTAGAGTTTGATTCTATACCTCTGGAAAGTATTGATAATCTGGCATTTTTTAAAAAACTAACAAAGCTTCAACTCCTTAACTTTCAATATGCAGAGTTTGTACAAATTCCAGTGGTAAGCTTAAGCTATTTGGAAAGCCTAAATAATCTTTATATTAGGTTCACTAAAATAAACACAGTCCTCTCAAAGTCATTTGAGAAACTTACGAACTTGCTTGATCTGGATTTATCCTTCAATCAGATAGAGACTTTGGAAAGTGATGCTTTTCTTGGAGTTGCCAATCATCTAACACATTTAGATCTAGGTTCTAATAAACTTCAGCCACACTCTTTGGTGGCATTGTCAAGAAAACAATGGACAAATCTCAAGCATCTGACACTATCCTACAATGATGGCCTCACATATATGCCAGCAAATGTCTTCAAAAACATGCCAAACCTAGAAGAATTGTTTCTTGTTAACCTGAACTTGGTGCATATATCTAGAGATTTATTTACTGGCTTAGACAACTTGTTAAGTCTTGACCTTGGTTGGAACAACATAGAATCAATACAAGATGGAGCATTTCTAAACATGAACAAGCTTTTTGAGTTAAAACTAGAGTACCAATTTAACTCTGCACCAGTTCCTAAAACATTACAATTAAACCCTGGTGCATTTAAGGGATTAGAAACAAGTCTTATCTACTTGTTTCTTGAAGGAACTACCTTGGGTTCATACCAATTATGGACAACTCTTAGGCTCTTTAAAGAATTACAACAATTGGCAATGAGTGAAACTAAAGTTAGTGAAATACCATACTATGCTTTCCGGGAAAATAAAAAACTTACTAGAATTGAGCTGAATAAAAATGGTATCAAGTACTTAAATCAAGCAACATTTAAAGGACTTGAATATTCACTTAAAGATGTATCACTCAATGATAATAACCTAGAAACAATCAGTGACTGTGTGTTTCAGAATTTCCAGAAACTTGACTACATTCATCTTATGCGGAACCCTCTAATGTGTGACTGCAGATTAAAATGGCTGCACAACTTTGTCCTTGAAAAGAACAAAACTGTACCAACATTTTCACTAAATGACTTTATCTGTAAGCAACCTCAGAATTATGCAAATATGCCCCTGTACAAAATCCCAATTAATGAGCTAATATGCACAAAGAACAACCCAGAGAGATGCATAGATGATGAATTGACTAGTAGTCCAGTAAAAACTGTTACAACAGCTACTAGGTCAACTACAAAAAGCACTACACAAAGTTCTACTGACAACTGGCTACAGTTGTCTATAGAAGGGAGAACAAGCAGTTCATTTACCATAGCATGGCGTGTTTCTGATCAAACTACAATCACTGGATTCCAACTAGAGCATCAGCTAACAACATTTCCAGAATCAAGCAAAACACTAAAGATACACAAGGATGAGAGAGTCTACACAATTCATGACCTCATTCAAGGTAATCTCTACCAAATTTGTGTTACGGCAGAACTGACAGACACCAAAGATAAGTCTGTTAAAGATTGTAAAGTAGCACAAACAATTGGAAAAAGCTCATATACAGATAAACAAAGTAGTAGTGATTCAAGAAACATAATTATTGGTGCCATTATAGCAACAGTTGCTGTTGTTGTTCTTGTGGCTGTTGGTGTATGTGCTGTTGTTAAATACAAGGTCCAAAGACTGAAGGAACTCCGGTTTGCTTTAAACTCTCCAATACAGAGAAATCCATACACAGAGGATGGCATGAATGTATGTGTTGTGCCAAATGAATACACTGAAATAGATGTTGCAAGATTAGCAAATAAATACAAAATAAAATGTCCAAAAGACATACAAAGACAATTTGGAATAGATAATACATGTTACAAAAATGGTGAAGAGATAAGTCCTTATAATACATACCAAAGAATTGGGAAAGGCAAGAGAAAAAATCCTTATGAAAATGACGACGAGGAAGATGTAGTCATCCTTAACACAGAAAGTGATCAAGTTCACTTCAAAACTGACCTAGAAGAAAGGCATTCTGCACCTTCAAGATTAGATGCAGGAGACCTTAAGAACCATTATGACAGAAATTCCCGACCACTTCCAGCAACACCGGCTGACCAAAGTAACCAAAAGAGAAGCTCAACATTAAAACCAGTGAAGAAAGTAAAACCTGTCAAAAAACAGGTACTTGTTGCCAAAGCATCAGTGTACAACAACAAGGATGAAATTGATAAACAAAATGAGGATTAGATATTAAATATCTATGGAAACACAAACATAAAATAAACTGAGCATGGCACTCAATGTTTGTACTATTTCTCAATTTTTAAGCACCTCATGTGCATAAAGGCAGTGTGCAATAATGTATATAACATAAATATATAACTACTCAATATTGTATTTATTTCAATTACCAGTATGTGTGTTATTAAAATATATTATAATAGTTATATCATTTTTTTTTGTTATTTAAATACATTTAAATAGAAGATGTTTGTTTTCATTGCAAAATTTAAAAAAAAGTCACAGAGTGAACCCCAGGTGTAATATTTCCATGAGTGAAATTATAAAACCTGATGTTTAGAGGTAAAAATAATTAGATCTTTCATGCAAAATAAACAAAGTTTTATTTCCCTTTTAAAAGTTTTGAATGACACAGTCAGCAACTGACTATATCAAAGAATGATCAATACATAACACTATAAATTTATATCTGCGTAACATGGCTTCAGATACTGCAGTTAACATGTTTGATTTTTATGCCAATTTTAACACATTTTTAGTCACATCTTGGCATTGGATCCACATATCTGGCTTTTCTGGATAACTAACCAGTAATTAACAATCAACCCACTACTAGTCACACATGATTCCTAAATCAGTGGTGAGAGACTATTGACCATTAGACTCAATGTCCGAGATCAAATGTTGCAGAGAAATTTCATATCACCATTGACAATATAAAGCTACATGTATAATGATTGTGGAAATCATTTACTCATATAACTAGAAATGTGTCATCATGCCACAGATGCCCCCGCATGCAGCTAAAATTTCAGATGTTATAATATTCAGTTCCAAATTTGTTTGCACAAATTATTTTTTTCATTTTAAGTTCAAAGCCCTTAAAACTTTTCAATGTTAACACAAACCATTACCATACAATGTTCAAGGCACTGAAATTATTCAGTCTTAACCTTTTGAAAATAGCATATTTCATATTTGTTGCCAAAATAATGGCTACATACATTTCAACAAAAGTATGAGTGCTGAAACTGAAAGTTCAAAATTTTTCCAACATTCAAGAAAGATAAGTTTGTTCAAAATCATTGAACCACGACCAAATTCAAACTTAAACTGCTTATTCCTAAGATGTATCTATATCATTTTCAAAGTGAAAGGGACATAACTCTGCCAAAAAATTATAAAACCATGACCAAATTCCAACTTGACCTGCCCATTCCTTTGACATATCCATATGTCAAATTTGAGTTGAATATGTAACACTGTTGGGTAGATAATGAACAGAAACTGTAAATTTCATATTAGTTTCAAAGTGAAAGGGGTTTTATCCTGCCAAAAATCATTGAACCATGACCATCGAACTTGGTCTGGGCATTCCAAAAACATATCCATATGTCAAATTTGAGTTGAATGTGTTGTACAGGTGGGGAGATAATAAACAGAAACTGAAAATTTTATATTATTTTTAAAGTGAAAGGTGCATAACTCTGCCAAAAATCATTGAACCATGACCAAATTTGAACTTGACCTGCGCATTCCTTTGACATATCCATATGTCAAGTTTGAGTTGAATGTGTTGTACCGTTGGGGAGATAATGAACGGAAACTGAAAATTTCATATTATTTTCAAAGTGAAAGGGGCATAACTCTGCCAAAAATCATCGAACCATGACCAAATTCGAACTTGACCTGTATTTTCTCATGTCATATCCATATGTCAAATTTGAGTTGAATGTGTGCAACCGTTACTAAGATAATGAACGGAAAATGATGATGACGGAATGACAGAATGACGGAACAGGGTAACACTATATGCCCCGGCCATTACATGGCGGGGGCATAGAAATAAAGTGTGATGTAAATAACATGTATTGTTAAACAAAGAGATGTTCATGAAAGAATTCAGAATCAAAATTTAGCAGCCAATGCAGATTTGCAAGCCATCCTCATTTATAATGACATAAATGGTTAAACAGTGTCAATGTCAGTATTCATTAAGTTTTTTTTCTTTTCTTTTTTTGGTATAAAATCACTTAAACTCAATAAGGCGATATCATTTCACATTAACTCATTAAGACACTCACAGTATAATTTTACTTAGACTCATGAAGACAATAATTATAATATCAAATATATCAACAGACACTTCAAATTTAATACAAAACATATCCAATTGTATACAGGACTGGTGTGTGGAAAGTGGTGAGGGAACATTTTAAACCCATAAGGTCATCAGGTACTAAACACTCTACCTGCAGATAATTACAAGGTAATGTGGAACAATTGCAAAATAACACAATGTTCTCCCAACTTACTTCCCCTTGATTAATTTTATATCATACTATACACTTGGTACTTAATTTGGCTTCACAACATTAAATGTTAACAACAAAACTTGGATATTTTCATTGCTCAAGTAATCTTTAACTACAAGAGCTTAAAGACTTTAAACACAGTAAAGATTTCTTTTCAAAGACCCAAAGAGCTGGTTTAACACAAAAATATATATTCTTTGGTTACTTCTTTCGATGATTTTTAAAAATGTATGCCTTGACAAAGCACCCAGGATTTTGATATTTGAATAACTTCATATTTGCCAAAAATGTTCTTTACTTGAAGCTTCACACTGTTATTAAGAAATCCTATCAAAGATTACATGATTTCAGAACCACAATAATAAAAGTAACAACAATATAACTTCAGTAATGTTTACTCATCAACTGTTTTTGTTACATCAGTCAGGATAATTGCACACAGCAAAAAAAATACAGCCAAGATTTCATGCTTTTTAAATATACATGTAATTTAAAATTATATGAAACTATTTAGCAGCAATATTTGTGTATGGTAACTCTGTATGAATAAAAAAATATAATGCAGACAATGGTGTAGCCTGGCAAGACAACATGGTTGTGGAAGCTGGTGGTGATATACTGGTTATATCCTGGTCCTCAGATGATTAATTCTCTGAGTTCTTAGATTTAGCATGCTGTCATGTAGGAGGGATTAAATGAAATGTTTACCTCAAATGTCAACAGCTGCAGAATAATTGTTGGTATAACTTATCAGAACTGGCAATTTTAGTCCAAGACCTTAATTTAAACTACAGTCGACTCTCGTTATCTCGAAGTCTTCGGGACCGTCAAAAAATATCGAGATAACGAAATGTCGAGATAAACGTATGAGGGTTTGAACCTGTCAAAACTAATTTTTTACAGAAGACATGCGCATACCTTATAAGTCAAATAAGTACGATGTTTCATTATCTTGTGTCAATCCTTATAATAAAAGTTAACAGTTTGTTACATAATTTAGCGGATGTTTACCAGCGGAAATAACAGCATTTAGGTGCTATGTGATTGACACATAGTGCGGTTTACTCAGTTATACACCACTAAAACATAAACCTTGTTTTCTAACTTTATTTATTTAGTATTTTTAACATTGCATAACAACACATATAAATTACATGAAAACATTTCATAGCAATCTTTTGTGAGAGTAATATTTATAAAAGCACAAAACTTGAATAGTTAGCACGTTTATTTAATTTACCGATTATTCGATCAAATTCACTCATTTTCGACATAAGTCAATCAACACGCTAATTAACAATTATTTTCAAAAACACCCTGACTTGTTACAAACATATCATCATCAATTATTATGACACGCGCTTTGAGCGATAACCGTCCGCTTGGTGTTTTTCACACCTCTGCGGGAGGGGCAGATGAATAATTATTTGTCGAGATAAACAAAGGATTATAGTGGAAAATAACTGTTGGGGCTGAAATATCAAATCGAGATACTGAAAAAAAAATCGAAATAAAAATATCGAGATAAAGAAATATTTTCAATATAGATAAAGAAGGGGAATAAACGAGACTTTCAGAATTTAATCGAGATAACGAAATATCGAGAAAAGCGATGTCGAGATAACGATAGTTGACTGTAATAACTTCCAAAGTATAAATGACTGTGTTAAAAATTTTCCAAACTGTCTGTACTACTAAACAAACAAGCTGACTCCTATATACCCCCCCTAAACTTCGTTTGTGGGGGTATAATAACTTCAGTAATGTTTACTCATCAACTGTTTTTGTTACATCAGTCAGGATAATTGCACACAGCAAAAAAAATACAGCCAAGATTTCATGCTTTTTAAATATAATTTAAAATTATATGAAACTATTTAGCAGCAATATTTGTGTATGGTAACTCTGTATGAATAAAAAAATTAAAATGCAGACAATGGTGTAGCCTGGCAAGACAACATGGTTGTGGAAGCTGGTGGTGATATACTGGTTATATCCTGGTCCTCAGATGATTAATTCTCTGAGTTCTTAGATTTAGCATGCTGTCATGTAGGAGGGATTAAATGAAATGTTTACCTCAAATGTCAACAGCTGCAGAATAATTGTTGGTATAACTTATCAGAACTGGCAATTTTAGTCCAAGACCTTAATTTAACTACAGTCGACTCTCGTTATCTCGAAGTCTTCGGGACCGTCAAAAAATATCGAGATAACGAAATGTCGAGATAAACGTATGAGGGTTTGAACCTGTCAAAACTAATTTTTACAGAAGACATGCGCATACCTTATAAGTCAAATAAGTACGATGTTTCATTATCTTGTGTCAATCCTTATAATAAAAGTTAACAGTTCGTTACATAATTTAGCGGATGTTTACCAGCGGAAATACAGCATTTAGGTGCTATGTGATTGACACATAGTGCGGTTTACTCAGTTATACACCACTAAAACATAAACGTTGTTTTCTAACTTTATTTATTTAGTATTTTAACATTGCATAACAACACATATAAATTACATGAAAACATTTCATAGCAATCTTTTTGTGAGAGTAATATTTATAAAAGCACAAAACTTGAATAGTTAGCACGTTTATTTAATTTACCGATTATTTGATCAAATTCACTCATTTTCGACATAAGTCAATCAACACGCTAATTAACAATTATTTCAAAACACCCTGACTTGTTACAAACATATCATCATCAATTATTATGACACGCGCTTTGAGCGATAACCGTCCGCTTGGTGTTTTTCACACCTCTGCGGGAGGGGGCAGATGAATAATTATTTGTCGAGATAAACAAAGGATTATAGTGGGAAAATAACTGTTGGGGCTGAAATATCAAATCGAGATACTGAAAAAATCTAAATAAAAATATCGAGATAAAGAAATATTTTCAATATAGATAAAGAAGGGGAATAAACGAGACTTTCAGAATTTAATCGAGATAACGAAATATCGAGAAAAGCGATGTCGAGATAACGATAGTTGACTGTAATAACTTCCAAAGTATAAATGAATGTTAAAATTTTTCCAAACTGTCTGTACTACTAACAAATCCCACATTAGGAACTCCACGTGAAACACTTAATCTTGAATGATCAACAGGATTTGATGAACGTCTACTTCTGACATTATCTGAAAAATTTCCAACAGTAGAAAGTACAGAATCCGCCTTCAAACTTCCCTCATTAACATCTGAACTTTTTCTGCAGGAAGCGGTACACTGACAGAAATAATCTGAACTACTTGATATTACAGACATATCATACTGTTCTATGGCATTGTCCTTGCTTGATGTTTTGTCAAACTCTTCTGTTTTATTTTGGTTCAAATTATTCCTGACTGTTAAGTTTGGAGGCTCAGAGAGAGTTAAGTGTTTCTTTAGCCTATAATAAATAAAGATGCCAATAAATAATGTAAACATTAATATAACAACTATTCCTCCTATTACAACACCAAGAATAGTACTAGAAAAAGACACTGATATTTTCTCTGGTGCCACTGTGGTGGTTGAAGATGGTGTGTCAGTTAGGGGTGGAAGAGTTGTTGTTGACTTGCATTTTGGTTGAGTGTCTCTATATTCATTTTCAATTTTAAGCACAAGGCAAAAAGTGAAAGTAGTGTCCTCACGTAATTGGTAGAATGTGTGTGATTTGGCATCAAGGCCGGGGTAAGCTTCTTTATTTGATTGGTAATTTGATATCAATTCCAGTTTTAAACCAGTAACATGAGTCCTGTCATTTATTACCCATGTTATTTCAATGAAAGTTGATGCTCTATTATTTATTAGAATTTCAAATTCTGGAAGAGGTGGTGTAGTACGAATTGGTGTTGTTGTTGTGGTTGTTCTTGAAGTGGTAGTTTTTGTTGTTGTTGTCAGGTATATATCTGGACAGTTTCTGATAGTTGCTCCAGTGGGACACATTTCATTTTTATTAAATTCTGTAAAGTTTTTATTTGTCAATGAAACAGGAGATGCACATTGACCTATTTCCTGACAAGCATCTGTTTCCTGGGTTTGGTTACACTGTAATTTAAACCAATCATACAGCCAGGCTAAATCACAATTACAATTTAAAGGGTTTCCAACCAAAATCAGCTTAGGTCTGACTGGAAAGTCACTCAATGTACATTGATCAACAGTTTGTATTTTGTTTCTATTTATATAAATAGTCTGAAGAGTGTCTCTTGGACCAAAAAATGTCTCTTGTTTTAAAGAGGTAATCTTATTATCAGCAATATGTAAATTTGTTAGTTTCACATTGTTTCTGAAAGCTCTATCAGGTATATTTTCAATACCAGTGTTGTCTACTTCAAGAACTAACAAATTTGTAAGTGTTGATAAATCCATCCAGAATTGAAAAACATTCAGTTTGTTGTTTTGGAGACTAAGAATCTCTAAAGATGTTTCTATTCCACTAAATGCATTATTCTGGATATCTAGATAATCAATACTCTGCTGATCATGAAGTCGAAGTTCAACCAAAGATGGCGAGTTTTTGAATGTTTGTGGTGTAACAGTTCTTATGTTATTATAAGCCAGATCAAGTGTATGGAGACTTACAAGACCAGAAAACATATCTTTGTTGATACTTGTCAGTCCAATGTCTTTGCATTGTAGATATGCTAAAGCTGGTGTTTTGCTAAATATTTCACTTGGAAGATCTCTTAAATTAAAGTTATATCCTATATTTAAGTGACTTAAAACAGTCCAGTTTTCATTTCTTAAAAATTCAAGGCTTAGTTTATTATTTAGATTATTATTATCTATTTCCAGGAATTCTACACTGTCTGTTACTCCACTAAAGGTTCTTTGATCAATTGTGTTCAGATGTATATTGTTGCGTATTTTAATGTCCTTGAGTAGTGACATTGGTGTGAAAGAATCTCCATCTATAGATGTTATACCAATATCCATAATATCTAATGAGGTTAATTTTAAAAACTTTTGAATAGCTGGGACTGGAAAAATAGTTATGCTCCTTAACGCTATTAACTTGAGTTCCTTCAAATTGCTCATTACGCCGAAGATATCTGCACTGATAGATTTTAGGTTTTTCCATTTTTTGATTGTTAAAGATTCTAGATGTGGGAATGGAAAAACAATTGGTGCCTCAATGGATGTATCACCATAGTTTTCAAGATGTAGAGTTTTAAGTTGTTCATCAAGAGCAGCAAGAGCTTGGTCAGGCATTCCATTTGACCCATCTCCTTCTAGTGATATTGATTCTATTTCTGGTGCTAAACCTTCAAATGCATAATTGTCGATCGAGGTAACTGGATTGTTTAACAGATCTATTTTCTTTACTTTCAAGTTAGCAAAGGCATTAGCACCTATCTGTCGAATATTGTTACATTTTTTACCAGCAAATGGTTGGCAAGTTCCAGTTTCTTCAGATGAAGCAAATCCGATTTCATCATATACCTGATTTGTGTTGTTAAATGTTGGTATTTCAACCAAGTTTTTGTATCTGCAGTTAATTATGGTTTTATTTTCTTTATCAATGTTGCAATCACAGTGAACTGTTGGAGAAATACAAGACTGACATATCTTAAACAACAGAGCATGGAAGACAGCTGTGGCAATATTGAAGATGTTTACTTTACCAAACATGATGATGATGTCAATACATTCACTTTGCTGAAATGAAAGATAGATTAGTTTTATCTCAGCATATTCATCCCCAGCAATGATGGCCCTAGATTGCTCACCTCAGAAATGTCATTATTTCTATCATCTATTATAAGGTTGTTAGGTCATTCAAGGTCAAAATCCAATCTCATATTAAAAATTGTAGTGAAGGTCAAAGTGTTTGCAGTCAAGGTCAAATTTTAATGTCATTGCATAAACATTCAGTAGACAGGTCAAACAATGAAGTGAAAATACAATGTCTGGAATCCAATCCACAAACAGAATTTTAAATGTAATCAAAGTTTAAAAGCCATATGGTTAGTATGTCCTGATAATATTAACTCATATTAACTCGAAGTTTAAAAGTTTTAAATTTATTACATGCACAAAAGTATTCCCCATGTTTAAAATAGAATAAAGCATCTACCATTCTGACTAACAATAAAACAGTCAGTCATCAATTCTGGCAGCTCATATCAACACTGTACTATGTACTCAGTTGAGCTATGGTTACCTTGAACAAGCCACCTTATTCTTAATCTTTGACAACCAAATATCTATCAGTTTAACATACATCATTAGCAAAACACAAACAAATGTGTGATCTTTAAATTGTTAACCAGGATGACCCTTGATTTTATTCTTTAAACAAATTTGCTAAACCTGGCTGATGATCCCTTAATCTATTACCAAAACTCATCAAAAATAGTCTTTAGACAAAACAGTTAGACCAAGTATCATGTGCCTTGTTTTTGTATCTATTGTTTGAATAAGAATTTGGATAAATTGCCTTATTTTTAAGGACATAAAATTATTGGAACATATAATAATAAGTTGTGTATCATAACAATAAAACAATGAAATGCCATGCTAAGTGCTGAACTCTTAAAATAATTACACTAACTCATATTCAAGTTTACTCCATTATCAAATGAAAGATGATTTATTAAAATTAAGTTCCGGCTAAAGTACTAATTGACTATCATTTATTAGATAAAATTACACACTTTTTACCTTTCCTTTCTAATAACTGTTTAATGTAAATGTTGACTATCAATTGAAAAAAAAACAAAAACTTAAAATCCAAATTTTATCCAAATTAAATTTGCTGTCTATTTTATGAGAGCAGTGATTGACATCCTTTGAAACTCTTCTCAGTTTTCCTGACACCTACTATAATTATTAAGGCTATATAAAATGACTATTAGTTAATTATGATAATACTAAACTCCATTAGAAACAGTAGTCAATAAAAATTCTAAATTACTAAACCAATATTATTAGGAATAGAGTGTATCAATGTCACATTATAAAGTACATTTAATGGCACATTATGAAATATAACTTATCAATGTCACATTATAAAGTACATTTAATGGCACGTTATGAAATATAACTTATCAATGTCACATTATAAAGTACATTTAATGTCACGTTATGAAATATAACTTATCAATGTCACATTATAAAGTACATTTAATGGCACGTTATGAAATATAACTTATCAATGTCACATTATAAAGTACATTTAATGTCACGTTATGAAATATAACTTATCAATGTCACATTATAAAGTACATCTAATGTCACATTACGAAATATAACTTATCAATGTCACATTATAAAGTACATCTAATGTCACATTACGAAATATAACTTATCATTGTCACATTATAAAGTACATCTAATGTCACATTATGAAATATAACTTATCAATGTCACATTATAAAGTACATCTAATGTCACATTATGAAATATAACTTATCAATGTCACATTATAAAGTACATCTAATGTCACATTATGAAATATAACTTATCAATGTCACATTATAAAGTACATTTAATGTCACATTATGAAATATAACTTAACAATGTCACATTATAAAGTACATTTAATGTCACATTATGAAATATAACTTATCAATGTCACATTATAAAGTACCTTTAATGTCACATTATGAAATATAACTTATCAATGTCACATTATAAAGTACATTTAATGTCACAATATGAAATATAACTTATCAATGTCACATTATAAAGTACATTTAATGTCACAATATGAAATATAACTTATCAATGTCACATTATAAAGTACATTTAATGTCACATTATAAATAACTTATCAATGTCACATTATAAAGTACATTTAATGTCACATTATAAATAACTTATCAATGTCACATTATAAAGTACACTTAATGTCACATTGTGAAATATAACTTATCAATGACACATTATTGTGTACACAATACAAATGTTACATTACAAAGTATGCAAAATCAATGTCACATTATGAAGTATTCTGTATCAATGTTGCATTGTTTTGTACACAATTTCAATGTTGCATTATAAAGAACACAATTTCAACATCACAACATACCAAGAAAGGAATTATAAGATATGAAAGCATTATAAAGTATATCATGGATTAACTTGTGGTATAAATGTACATATTCAGACTACATAGACTATATCAAGATACATAATATAAAAGAGCAGCATAGAGCACAATAAATTAAGCTTCCATACAAAGGTGTATATTTAATATTGAGTTCATTAAATCTCACAAAGCAGCATATCAAGGTTACAGTGAGAGAACACCATTAACTTCACCATTTAAAACATCACTGACCATGACAAAGTTTTATTTGAAGAAAATGATGCTGCTTAGATATAACAATCATTTCTTAACATATATATAACAATTAAACAATATAGTAGTAGTTGGTTGGCCTATTTCCCTATAAACAATTATTATCTTATTACGCATATATTAATTCTATTGTTATGAACGTTGCTCCTCCCAACACCTACGTATCTATAAGCTATAAGTTTACAAGTGCCCTGTAATCATTGATATACGGAAATAATTTATATATAATTTCCTGTTCATGACAACAAAATGCATAGAAAATCATTGATATTAAAATTAACTAGAAACGTGTCGTCACGTCACGAATGCCCCCGCATGCAGCCAAAATTTCATATGTTATAATATTTAGTTCCAAATTTGTTTGCACAAATTATTTTTTTCATTTCAAGTTCAAAGCCCTTAAAACTATTCAATGTTAACACAAACCAATTCTATACAAAGTTCAAGGCACTGAAACTATTCAGTGTTAACCTTTTGTAAATTGCATATTGCATATTTGCTGCAAATAATGGCTACAAACATTTCCACAAAAGTATGAGTGCTGAAACTGAATATTCAAAAATTGTCCAACATTCAAGAGAGATAGACCAAGATTGTCCAAAATCATTGAACCACGACCAAATTCAAACTTGAACTGCTTATTCCTAAGATGTATCTATATGTCAAATTTGAGTTGAATGTGTACAACCATTGGGGAAATAATAAATGGAAACTTAAAATTTCTGATTTTTTTTTCAAAGTTCAAGAGGAATAACTCTGTCAGCTATCATCAAACCATGACCAAATTCGAAATTGACCAATGCATTTTTATGACATATCTATACCTTTAATTTGAGTTGAAAGTGTACAACTGTTGGGGAGATAATGAATGGGAACTGAAAATTTCCTTTTTTTCAAAGTTAAAGGGGCATAACTCTGCCAAAAATCATCAAACCATGACTAAATTCAAACCTAACCTGCGCATTCCTCTGACGTATCTATATGTCAAATTTGAGTTGAATAATTATGTAATACTGTTGTTGAGATAATGAACAGAAACTAAAAATTTCATATAATTTTCAAAGTGAAAGGGGCATAACTCTGCCAAAAATCATTGAACCATGACCAAATTCAAACTTGACCTGCCCATTCCTTTAACGTATCTATATGTCAAGTTTGAGTTGAATGTGTATTACCGTTGGGGAGATAATGAACGGAAACTGAAAATTTCATATTATTTTCAAAGTAAAAGGGGCATAACTCTGCCAAAAATCATCGAACCATGACCAAATTCGAGCTTGACCTGTATTTTCTCATAACATATCCATATGTCAAGTTTGAGTTGAATGTGTAATACCGTTGGGGAGATAATGAACGGAAACTGAAAATTTCATATTATTTTCATAGTAAAAGGGGCATAACTCTGCCAAAAATCATCGAACCATGACCAAATTCAAGCTTGACCTGTATTTTCTCATAACATATCCAAATGTCAAGTTTGAGTTGAATGTGTAATACCGTTGGAGAGATAATGAACAGAAACTGAAAATTTAATATTATTTTCATAGTAAAAGGGGCATAACTCTGCCAAAAATCATCAAACCATGACCAAATTCGAACTTGACCTGTATTTTCTCATGACATATCCATATGCCAAATTTGAGTTGAATGTGTGCAACCGTTACTAAGATAATGAATGGAAACTGATGATGATGGAATGACAGAATGACGGAACAGGGTAACACTATATGCCCCTGCCATTATATGGCGGGGGCATAATGAAATGGAAAACATGAGCTACTGCCAGGCAGCCTCACGGGCATAATAAAATGGAAAACAAGAGCTACTGCCAGGCAGGGGCACAATCCACTTTTTTACTTTTCCAAATACAAACAAATTAGTAGTTAAAACAAATCTTTAAACAAGAAACATGGCAATGCCACGAAACCAGGTTTTCAATTATCACTTTTGTAGATAAATATGTTGTAGTTGAAATACAAATACAAGCAACAAACAATGTAACTATGTGCAATGTAAATCATGAATAATGAATTTTCTATTTCAAGTAACTGTAACCCTAGGGGACCAAAAAGCAATCCCAAGTGAGGTCTTTAGAAAAACTTGCTTTACACCAAATATCATAAAAATATCTTATTCCAAACTAGTTATTGACTGGAAACCTGTTTTCTATTTTATAACTAAATAAAGTTTGTTGTGATTAAAAGGATATATTACACAAATTTTAAATTTAATGGAAAAACAAAGGGCCATCCATAATTAGGTCAAAACTTATCCAATCCCAAAACCCCGACAATATGCATCAGGGCACTTGAAGACAAAGCTAATCTGTGAAAGTTTGAACAAAACCCCTTGAGAAATGTAGGAGTTGCGAACAGAAGAAATTGTTCACTATAAACTCTATATAAGGAAAAAAAACAAAGAGCCTTAATTAGGTCAAAAATTATCCAATCACAAAAACCCAACAATAAGAATCAGAGCACTTGATGACAAAGCTTCTGTAAAAGTTTGAACAAAACCCCTTGAGAAATGTAGAAGGACTTGCGAACAGAAGAAATTGTTCACTATATACTCTATATAAGGAAAAAAAAAACAAAGAGCCATAATTAGGTCAAAAATTATCCAATCACAAAAACCCAACAATAATCATCAAAGCACTTGATGACAAAGCTTCTGTGAAAGTTTGAACAAAATCCGTTGAGAAATGTAGAAGGACTTGCGAACAGAAGAAATTGTTCACTATATACTCTATATAAGGAAAAAAAAAACAAAGGGTCATAATTACGTCAAAAATTATCCAATCACAAAAACCCAACAAAGCATCAGAGCACTTGATGACAAAGCTTCTGTGAAAGTTTGAACAAAACCCCTTGAGAAATGTAGGAGTTGCAAACAGAAGAAATTGTTCACTATATAAGGATAAAAAAACAAGGAGCCATAATTAGGTAAAAAAATATCCAATCACAAAAACCCAACAATATGCATCAGGACACTTGATGACAAGGCTTCCTTGAAAGTTTGAACAAAATCCTTTGAGAAATGTAGGAGTTGCAAACAGAAGAAATTGATCACTATATATTCTATATAAGGAAAAAAAAACAAAGAGCCATAATTAGGTCAAATATTATCCAATCACAAAACCCTGACAATATGCACCAGGGCACTTGATGTCAAAGCTTCTGTGAAAGTTTGGTCAAAATCTGTTGAAAAATGTAGGATTCTGGAGTTGCGCACAGATGAAAAACCTGGTTAAAAAGAAAATTAAAGAAAAAATAAATAAGTTTTTCCTTTTTCTAATTTTAAAAGGTCAGTCTAGTCACACTTCTTGTTTCTGTATGAATCCTTTCTATAAATACATGAGAAAGTTAAAAAAAAAATATTTAATAAATATAAAAGTCTGTGTTGGTTTGTTCAAGTAAGAACAAAATGCACTGATACATAACAAATTTTATCAATATAAAAAATGTTATGGTCTTTTAGATCATTTAAAGATTTAACTCCTATTTACTTACCAGAGATGTTGCTAACATTATCTATGTCTATGACTTCGGACAGGTCATAAGTGTGTCAAATATTAATCAAATCTGTACATAAAACATAAAGTTCTACAGAATTCAAATATATTTTCATATTTGACCTTGATGTCAAGAATATTTACAGGTCAAGGTTAACCTTGAAAAACTTCACCACATGCCAAATCCAAACAAAATTCATTGACTGATAAAAAAGCTACCAGAAGTTTGTTTGTCATATTGAATCTGGATATAGCAATTATTATTCCCATGTTGTATTGCAATGTACATTGGGAGGAATTAAAGAGGTCTGTCTCTCTGTCTGTCTGTCTGTCTGTGTGTCTATATGTCTGTCTGTTTTAATAATTGGCGATCGGTATATAAGTCTTTATATTAATTATGTTAAATTCTTCAAGTTTCTTACAAATGTAAACCCTTTAAAAACATATATCTGAAATAATACAACATAAATATACACTTTAATCTATATCTTACCATGGCAGATACAAAATAAGTAACCTTATGTACTTAAAATGGTGTAAAAGTTCATTTTTCAGAGAAAAAATCATTTGGTCCCAATATAATTTCAAATATTTCATGGTTACCTCCCTTTAAGCATAAACTAAATTATCATGTTCTTTGTGTATGCTGCAAAGTGGTCTCTAAGTATAGTAATAAATGAAAAGTAGTACAATTGTTTTATTGACCTTAATTGGCATAGAGGTTTATGAGGAGATGTTGTTTAAAGTAAAAGTTATCGGACGGATGGAAGACAGACGGACGCTGGACGAAAAGCAATCACAGAAGCTCAACATGTCACTTTGTGACAGGTGAACTAAAAATACATGTAAGTTCTAAACACCAGCTTGACATAAATAAATCATATTATAAAACACTGATTTTTCTAGGTGTCAACCAAATATTGGTTCATTTAATATTATCCCAACATAAAAATAGTTTGCTAAACCACTTTCTGTATCATTCTGTATATTATTCTTCTACTCACAATCAAAGAGAATTCTTGCTAACACATTTAATTTTCCTTAAAATAAGTTCTGTCTATTGCATAAAAACAATGTACTTTGTATTTTATATGAATGTATATTATGTGAATGTATCCTATGTGAATATATCTTGTATGGATGTTTCTAGTGTAAGTCTATCTTGTGTTAATGTATGATGTGTATGACATCTTGTGTGAATGTATCAGTGTGAATATATCTTGTGAAAGTCTTATCTTAGCAATTTTTTTTTAAAGTAGCATATGATTATACAACTTCATTCAAAACAGAAAAATGAGGTCATCCTATGAAGGCAATTCATTCACAAAAGGCGCACAGAAATGATGTCATTTAAAGCACACAACCTGTCTTTCATAGGGGTGTAAGACAGTTTTTCTCCAAACACTGGAGTAAAACAGAAGATAATCCTGTCTGATATGCAAGAAATTATATGATTTTACAGGAATGGTCAACATGTGAAATAGTATCTCCCTGCATGCTTTTTGGTGTGTCCATAATGAAAAGGAATATTATACATGTATACCTGATTAGAAATTACATAAAATATTTAACAAATTAGTCACTATTATTACCCCTCACTTTTGGGGAATGTTAATTTCCCATATATTTATACTGTTAATGCAAGTGCACCCAATTTGTACTGTTACAGGGAAACAGTATAAAATCTGGTCACATGGTCTACTTTCTAAAGAAAATAAATCATCATAAAAAATCATGACAGTTATTGTTCGGGCTAATAAAATAACACATGGGTTTGTGAGTAACAAAAAAAAGTGTCATCCCTCGTAAAAATCCTGTATTTTCCTTGGGATGATATCTTAACTGTTACCAAAAACCCATGTGTAAAATGCGTTTTTTATTCAAGGGTTATAACTTGGCCAAAATTCAATCAAGGGCTATGTAATATGCCCAAGTACTTGTAGTGTCAGAGTTACGTCACAGACAAAGTTCAAAGTGTAAAATCAACCCATATGTTGCACGCCACATGTCGTCTCAATATGGTGATCATTTTTTTGAAATAGTTGTAAATAACAAAGTAATTGGGGTGGACATGATTTTACTGCATGGTCATGCTGTGAACTTGACCTTCAAGGTAGCAACCCAAATAATGCGCATGACACGACGTCTCAATATGATGATCATTTCTGTGAAATAGTTGTAAAATCCAACTTCAAATAACAAAGTTAAGAGCCATATGCAGACACAATTTTGCTGCAAGGTCATGCTGTGACCTTGACCTTCAATGTAGTGACCCAAATGCTGCGCGTGACACGTCGTCTCAATATGATGATCATTTCTGTGAAATAGTTGTAAAATCCAACATCAAATAACGAAGTTTTATAACGGGCCAGACAAGATTTTGCTTCAAGCTAGCGACACAAAATTAATGTTTCGCTTGTCGTCTCAATATGATGACCATTTCTGTGAAATAGGTGTAAAATCCGACTTCAAACAACAGTTATGAGTCAGACACGATTTTGCTGCAAGGTCATGCTGTGACCTTGACCTTCAAGGCAGCGACCCAAATGTTATGCATGACTAGTCGTCTCAATATGGTGATCATTTTTGTGAAATAGTTGTAATGTCCCACATCAAATAACAAAGTGATGGGCCAGACACGATTTTGGTGCAAAGTCATGCAGTGACCTTGACCTTCAAGGTAGCGACCCATATGTTGAGGGCAACAAGTTGTCTCAATATGGTGATCATTTCTGTGAAATAGTTGTAAAATCAGCCTTCAAATAACGAAGTTATGGGCAGGACACAAATTCGGGACTTACGTATGTACATAAGTAAGTACGGACGGACAGTTGGCTGGACAACCCAACAAATTTTTCAGGGTAATAGATCAATCCTGTTAAATTGTCCGGACAAACTTAAAAAAAAATTTTTAAATGTCAAAAACTGCATACCCTGCTAAAAATCATTGAACATGAAAATGCCAAAAACATAATTTTTTAATCAAAAAAATTTATTCTTCATCCAAAATGGAAAATTTTGGTCTCCTTCACTAGCATTACCTAAGATTACATAAATAGAGTTGTTATCGCCCCCACTTGTTGGTCCCAGGTGGGACAAGTTTATCAATTTTTATCTTTGTTTATAGACTATCATAAAGAAATTTCAAAAAATAAATGAAATAAAAAGGAGCTGTAGATTCTTCAAATGATTTAATAGCATGTAGCCTACTAAAGGTAAATACCTAAATGGATTAATAATGCCATGAAGTGAAATATTTGAAATTCAAATTTTTAAATGGATTACAGATTGTTATTATTTATAAATTTAAACAAGATCAACAAAACAAGTTAAGGTAATTAAGCACTAATATCATCTATCTAATAAAAATAATTGTACAGTTTTGGTGAGCCCTCTATTCTGGTTTATTACAGTAAAAATTAAATAGCAGAATAATTACCATAATTATATAGGTGGGTGAAAATTTAGATACTAATTAAGTCTCATTAGAGTGAATCTGTGACATATCTTACAGTGAAATAATTCCTTAATTTTTTTTCTTATCCGTTTTATGTCATGAATCTTTGTTTACTGTCTCAGGTCATGAAATATGGAGAATATTATGAGAACTGTTTCTATGGTGATGTTACTGTCAACAGCAGTGATTTCTCAGTCATGTACATCTCCAACAACTAGATGTGACTGTTTCCAGATAGATGGGAAAACCATAATAAACTGTAGATATAAAAACTTAACAGCTATACCAACATTTAACAACACAAATCAAGTGTATGATGAAATCAGATTTTCTTCATCTGAAGAAACTGGAACATGCCAACCATTAACTGGTTGTAACAATATTCGACAGATAGGTGCTAATGCCTTTGCTAACTTGAAAGTAAAGAAAATAGATCTGTTAAACAATCCAGTTACCTCGATTGACAATTATGCATTTGAAGGTTTAGCACCAGAAATAGAATCAATATCATTAGAAGGAGATGGGTCAAATGGAATGCCTGCCCAAGCTCTTGCTGCTCTTGATGAACACCTTAAAACTCTACATCTTGAAAACTATGGTGATACATCCATTGAGGCACCAATTGTTTTTCCATTCCCAAATCTAGAATCTTTGACAATCAAAAAATGGAAAAACCTTAAATCTATCAACGCAGATATCTTCAACGTTATGAGAAATTTGAAGGAACTCAAGTTAATATCATTAAGAAACATAGCTACTTTACCAGTGCCAGCTATTCAAAAGTTTTTGAATTTAACCTCATTAGATATAATGGATATTGGTATAACATCTATAGATGGAGATTCTTTCACACCAATGTCACTACTCAAGGACATTAAAATACGCAACAATATACATCTGAACACAATTGATCAAAGAACGTTTAGTGGAGTAACAGACAGTGTGGAATTCCTGGAAATAGATAATAACAATCTAAATGATAAACTAAGCCTTGAATTTCTAAGAAATGAAAACTGGACTGTTTTAAGTCACTTAAATATTGGATATAACTTTAATTTAAGAGATCTTCCAAGTGAAATATTTAGCAAAACACCAGCTTTAGCATATTTACAGTGCCAAGACATTGGACTGACAAGTATCAACAAAGATATGTTTTCTGGTCTTGTAAGTCTTCATACACTTGATCTGGCTTATAATAACATAAGAACTGTTACACCACAAACATTCAAAAACTCTCCATCTTTGGTTGAACTTCGACTTCATGATCAGCACACTATTGATTATCTAGATATCCAGAATAATGCATTTAGTGGAATAGAAACATCTTTAGAGATGCTTAGTCTCCAAAACAACAAACTTAATGTTTCTCAATTCTGGATGGATTTATCAACACTTACGAATTTGTTAGTTCTTGAAGTAGACAACACTGGTATTGAAAATATACCTGATAGAGCATTCAGAAACAATGTGAAACTAACAAATTTACATATTGCTGACAATAAGATTACCTCTTTAAAACAAGAGACATTTTTTGGTCCAAGAGACACTCTTCAGACTATTAATATAAATAGAAACAAAATACAAACTGTTGATCAATGTACATTGAGTGACTTTCCAGTCAGACCTAAGCTGACTTTGGTTGGAAACCCTTTAAATTGTAATTGTGATTTAGCCTGGCTGTATGATTGGTTTAAATTACAGAGTAACCAAGAAACAGTTGCCCGTCAGGAAATAGGTCAATGTGCATCTCCAGATTCATTGACAAATAAATACTTTACAGAATTTAATAAAAATGAAATGTGTCCCACTGGAGCAACCATCAGAAACTGTACACATTTATACCTGACAACAACACCAATTCCTAATACACCACCTCTTCCAGAATTTGAAATTCTTATAAATAATAGGGCATCAACTTTCATTGAAGTGACATGGGTAATAAATGACAGGACTCATGTTACTGGTTTAAAACTAGAAATGATATCAAATTACCAAGCACCTAAAGAAGCTTACTCCGGTCTTGATGCCAAATCACACACATTCTACCAATTACGTGAAAACACTACTTTCACTTTTTGCCTTGTGCTTAAAATTGAAAATGAATATAGAGACACTCAACCAAAATGCAAGGCAACAACAACTCTTCCACCCCTAACTGACACACCATCTTCAACCACCACAGTGGCACCAGAGAAAATCTCTTGGCTTGGTGTTATAATTGGTACAACTGTTGGAGGAGTTGTACTTGTTGTGCTTATCATAGCAATTCTCTTTAATCTTCTCGGCAGCAACAAAGCAAATAAACAAAAAGCTTTGACTGAACCTGGCAAAATCTCTATGAAGGCTGATGTTCCTCATGCAGGTGGTACAACTGAATATTTTGCTAAGAAAATTGAGGAGGGTGCATCTCCTAATGATACAAGTGTAACTGTAATCTCAAATGGAGATATCAACAATCAAAGCAGAATTTCTGCTGGCAGTTACCAAGCTTTAAATGAGAAAGGAGTGGATAGTAGACCTATGCCGTCCTAAGTTTGATACTGACAAAGGTTAAGTTTTAATTGTTCTACAGGCACAGCTGAGATTGTGAAATCCTACATGTGTCATATTCAATCAGTGCCAACTTGTGTTTTACTTGTGTTATAAATCTATATTATGATTTTGGATACACATACTTCAAAATAATGTAGACACTTCAATTTTATTATCCAAAGATATGGTGCTGCAGAGGACAATGAAAGCCTCAAGATATGATAAATGTTGGCCTTTAAAGCACGACAAAGCATATATCTTATGATATAAAATATACATTTTCATTATGAGAGTTATAAATCGGACACATTTAAATGTGCAAACAACTGCAGTGTGTATTACAAGTATTGAAAACGTTATACATGCAAGGAAGCTTTCAAAGACTTAAATTTTAAATAGCAATTGCAAGTTGATACACTTTTATATACTGAATATTAAATAATCAAATGTAGCTGGTTATGATAACATCTGTGATACTTTTAACATATCAGAAAATTATTTTACATATACAATGTATATAGTTTATCAGACTGAGTTATGTTGGTGCTGCTTGCATAAAATCCTTGTATATATTACTTTTACATCTCATGGAAACGTGTATCATATATCATAGAACTATTTTTAGACATGTATTCTGCTACCAAAGACCAAAGCAATTTATCAAAAATTATTCTATAAATACTTATTACATATTTACAACACTACTACTGGTTAATTTAACCACTGAAATCCTGTGCATGCACAATGATGAAATGAACTATTGACCTGTCAACAGTTTTAACTCTTGAACCCCTTTTGACGTCATCGGGTTTTTCTGCTTACGCCGCCCGCCACTTCTCGGACATCAAACGTCCCTCAGATCAATGCAGGGTAGTGGTTCGTCTGTAGGATTCAGTTGTAAATAATTCAAACAGTTGTAAAAATGTTCTCAGTATGTTGTTGCAATATATATTGTAGTTTCATTGCAAAGTATTTGGTGATAAAACAGGTATTTCATGGGTGTTACTGGTACAGTAAACTGTTGTCCCTAGGTATCAGGGATAACAATTGGAACTGTTGCCGAAGGCCTCTGGTAACAATTCCAAATGTCATCCCTGATACCGAGGGACAACAGTTTTGACTGTTCCACGAACAACTATGAAATAACTGTATAATGACTGAATCTGATGCATATCCTCCTAGGTCTAGAAAAAGATGTAAGCTTGAATATGTCACATGGTGTTAACAAATACAGAAATTTTCTTAGTCTTTTTCATCCTGGTATTAAATAATATAAGTAAAATTATCTTCAATAATTTTCAGAGTCACAAAAATCTATTGTTAACAAATTTGAATTGAATATATTTTGAATGACTAAAATGCTGGTATCAAGTATGTCTGTCTAGGATATAACCTACAAGCTAGCTTACTGTTTAACCAGATATAATATTTGTATAAAAGTAGCTTGAAAAGATTTTGTCATACATGTAAAATTTCATGCAAAGATTTCTTGTGTTATATAGCTATAATGTATGTGCTAAACAGTTTTGTATTATATATCAAATTACCGGTAAATTTTGAGAAAAAAATTATATTATTATCAGTCTTTACTAATTGAAAATGTGCTGATATTTTTGTAAATCTGTTTATAAAAGATTATATATATATAAATGTTAAAACATATTTAGGTAATTGTTATCTATGTCAGATATCATAAAACTTGTTCCAGCACCATACCTTTGCAGGTTGATTTTCATTCTATTAACACTTTCTATTAAAATCTTATCCTTTGTTAAAAAAGAAACCTTTATTTTAAGGACTGTTACGGGTTTTTTTGTTGTTGGTTTTTATTGTTGTTCTTTTCTCTTCTTATTTTTTTAACTTAATGTCATCAAAAAAGATAGTAAGAATAATCATACAACTTTCTTCCCAATATGGTTTTATAACTGTCACATGATGTCATGTCTTTATGTATGATGTGAATATATCTGGTGTGAATGCATCTTGGTAACATCAGAATCTTACTGGAATGGTCAACATGTGAAACAGTATCTCCCTGTATGCTATTTGGTGTGTCCATAATGAAAAGGAAGATTATATATCTGATAAGAAATTACATGAAATATTTAAGAAATTAGTCACTACTATTATTGTTGATTAAGTAATATTATGCAACAACAATGTAGGATATTTGATGCTTTGATAATATACCATGGCCACTTGGCCATATTATATGATATATCAGGCCCTCACAGGTATATTAACCATCTAATTTATTCCATACAGGGGCAATTGCTTGCACAGTTATAGTGCTGTTATAAATACCACAACTCTATACAGTTAGATAATACATTATGATTTTTAACTTTTGATAAAGAACAAATGGGTCAAACCACCGATTATCATTTGATTATCATTCACCTTTAAACCAATAATAATAGTTTAAATATAATATTTAAATTTTACACAGAAAACTTTCTATATAAATAAATAGATCAAACCACTCTTTAACATTAATATTTTAAACTATAATGATAGTTTTAACATACTGTCAACATACTTTTTGATTTATCATTTGTTAAAAATTAAAAAAAAATAAAAATAAATAATTTTTGAATTCAAAATAAATATTCTTCATCCAAAAAGTGAAAGTTTGGTCTCATTCACAACCATTACCTAAGATTACATAGAGTTGTAATTCCCCCCACTTGTAGCCCCCAGGTGAGAGAAGTGTATTGATGTTTACAGTTATTACCACACCTGACTGGTCAACAAACTAAAGGTACAATGTATTGGAGAAAAGAGACACAGTCTATATATAGAGGTCAACTGTGACTCAGTCACTGTCATATGTACAATCAATAAGGAATTCCAGGTGTGATAATAAAACCAGGATATCTTTATATCATTGTTTATAAATAGTGTGTCGTAAAGAAATTTCAAAAAATAAATTAAATAAAAAGAAACTGTAGATTTGTGAAATGATTTAAATTACCTGTATTGTGTGTAAACTACTTAGATAACTACCTACATGGATTTATGAAGTCATGCAATTAATGCATGAAGTGAAATATTTGAAATTCAAATTTTGAAATGGATTACAGATTGTTATAAATTAAGAAATCATCAACAAAACAAGTAAAGGTAATTACAGCACTAATATAATCTATCTAATAATAAATTTTGTACAGTTTGGGTGTGCCCTATTTAAAATGTTGATATTCTGGTCTATATATTTAATTAAATAGATCACTGCTTTATAATTTGATCAGATTAACTAACATATATAGTTAAGCAAACATTCAGATACCAAGTCTCATTTGTTTGACTGAATTTATGTCATATTTTATGGTAAAATATTTTTTGAAGTTTCTATCTTGTTTATTTCAGGAATCTTTGTTTACCATTTCAAGTCATAAAATATGGAGAATATTATAAGAATTGCTTCTATGGTGATGTTACTGTCAACAGCAGTGATTTCTCAGTCATGTACATCTCCAACAACTAGATGTGACTGTTTCCAGAAAGATGGGAAAACCATAATAAACTGTAGATATAAAAACTTAACAGCTATACCAACATTTACCATCACAAATCAGGTGTATGATGAAATAAGATTTACTTCGTTTGAAGAAACTGGAACTTGCCAACCGTTTGCTGGTTGTAACAATATTCGACAGATAGGTGCTAATGCCTTTGCTAACTTGAAAGTAAAGAAAATAGATCTGTTAAACAATCCAGTTACCTCGATCGACAATTATGCATTTGAAGGTTTAGCACCAGAAATAGAATCAATATCACTAGAAGGAGATGGGTCAAATGGAATGCCTGACCAAGCTCTAGCTGCTCTTGATGAACAACTTAAAACTCTACATTTAGAAAACTATGGTGATACATCCATTGAGGCACCAATTGTTTTTCCATTCCCACATCTAGAATCTTTAACAATCAAAAAATGGAAAAACCTAAAATCTATCAACGCAGATATCTTCGGCGTAATGAAAGATTTGAAGGAACTCAAGTTAATATCATTAAGAGACATAACTATTTTACCAGTCCCAGCTATTCAAAAGTTTTTGAATTTAACCTCATTAGATATTATGGATATTGGTATAACATCTATAGATGGAGATTCTTTCACACCAATGTCATTACTCAAGGACATTAAAATACGCAACAATATACATCTGAACACAATTGATCAAAGAACGTTTAGTGGAGTAACGGACACTGTGGAATTCCTGGAAATTGATAATAATAATCTAAATAATAAACTAAGCCTTGAATTTCTAAGAAATGAAAACTGGACTGTTTTAAGTCACTTAAATATTGGATATAACTTTTATTTAAGAGATCTTCCAAGTGAAATATTTAGCAAAACACCAGCTTTAGCATATTTACAGTGCCAAGACATTGGACTGACAAGTATCAACAAAGATATGTTTTCTGGTCTTGTAAGTCTCCATACACTTGATCTGGCTTATAATAACATTAAAACTATTACACCACAGACATTCAAAAACTCTCCGTCTTTGGTTGAACTTCGACTTCATGATCAGCAGAGTATTGATTATCTAGATATCCAGAATAATGCATTTAGTGGAATAGAAACATCTTTAGAGATGCTTAGTCTCCAAAACAACAAACTTAATGTTTCTCAATTCTGGATGGATTTATCAACACTTACAAATTTGTTAGTTCTTGAAGTAGACAACACTGGTATTGAAAATATACCTGATAGAGCATTCAGGAACAATGTGAAACTAACAAATTTACATATTGCTGACAATAATATTAACTCTTTAAAACAAGAGACATTTTTTGGTCCAAGAGACACTCTGCAGACTATCAATATAAATAGAAACAAAATACAAACTGTTGATCAATGTACATTAAGTGACTTTCCAGTAAGACCTAAGCTGACTTTGGTTGGAAACCCTTTAAATTGTAATTGTGATTTAGCCTGGCTGTATGATTGGTTTAAATTACAGAGTAATCAAGAAACAGTTGCCCGTCAGGAAATAGGTCAATGTGCATCTCCAGTTTCATTGACAAATAAATACTTTACAGAATTTAATAAAAATGAAATGTGTCCCACTGGAGCAACCATCAGAAACTGTCCAGATATATACCTGACAACAACAACAAAAACTACCACTTCAAGAACAACCACAACAACAACACCAATTCGTACCACACCACCTCTTCCAGAATTTGAAATTCTTATAAATAATAGAGCATCAACTTTCATTGAAGTAACATGGGTAATAAATGACAGGACTCATGTTACTGGTTTAAAACTGGAAATGATATCAAATTACCAAGCAACTAAAGAAGCTTACCCAGGCCTTGATGCCAAATCACACACATTCTACCAATTACGTGAGGACACTACTTTCACATTTTGCCTTGTGCTTAAAATTGAAAATGAATATAGAGACACTCAACCAAAATGCAAGTCAACAACAACTCTTCCACCCCTAACTGACACACCATCTTCAACCACCACAGTGGCACCAGAGCAAAGCTCGCAGCTTGGAATTATTATTGGGTCCAGTGTTGGAGGAGTGGTACTTGTTGCCCTTATCATAGCAATTCTTGTTATTCTTCTCCGCAGCAACAAACCCAAGAAACAAAAACCTTTGCCTGAACCTGTGAGCTTCTCAATGAAAGCTGATGTTCCTCATGCTGGTGGTACAGCTAAACGTTTTGCTAAGAAAGCAGAGAAGGAAGGTGCATCTCCTGATGATATAAGTGTAACTGTAATCTCAAATGGAGATATCAACAATCAAAGCAGAATATCTGCTGGCAGTTACCAAGCTTTAAATGAGAAAGGAGTGGATAGTAGACCTATGCCGTCCTCATACGGACATTATACAAATGATATTGGAGATAGACCACTACCAAATGCTCCTAGAGGAGCCACTGGACATGGATATGTTAATTCTGGATTTAAAAATAGTGCAGATCATTTACCTGAAACTTCAAAAAATGATTATAGTGAAGTTCGATACTGACAAAAGTTAAAGTTCTAATTGTTCTACAGGCACAGCTGAGATTGTGAAATCCTACATGTGTCATATTCAATCAGTGCCAATTTGTGTTTTAAATCTATATTATGATTTTGGGTACACAAATTCCAAATGTAGACACTTCAATTTTATCATCCAAAGATTTGGTGCTGCAGAGGACAATGAAAGCTTCAAGGTATGACAAATGTTGGCCTTAAGTACAACAAAACAACATATATTTTATGATATAAAATACATTTTAATTATAAGGATTGTAAATTGGACACATATAAATGTGAAAACAACTGCAATATGTATTACAAAGTCTTGAAAACATTTTAGAAAAGGTTATACATGCAAGAAAGCTTTCACAGACTTTTAATTTTAAATAGCAACTGCAAGTTGATATACTTTTATGAAGTGAATATTAAATAATCAAATGTAGCTGGTTATGATAACATCTGTGATACTTTTAACATATCAGAAAATTATTTTACATATACAATGTAAATAGTTTATCAGACTGAGAATACTAAGTCTTGTACATAAATGTAGATAAATCTTGTACATATCATTTCTTACACATTTTACATTCCAACAAAGTTTTACACAACATTCTGTTATAATTATGAATTGTAGCATCAAACTGTTTAGCGTGATATTATAAGATATATCAATGAGGATATACTTTTGAATATAAATCAAATTTTGTAAAAATGTAATACAGCTTTAAAATAAATTAAAATCTGTCTGAATTCATGCGTGACATGACACATAAGTAATTTTATTTCAGAAACAGCACATCAAGAAATAACGCATATATGTTGGTTGCCACTTGCATAAAATCCTTGTATATATTACATTTAGATCTCATAGAAACTTGTATCATATATCATAGAACTATTTGTAGCTGATTTAAAATTGTGAATGTAATCTGCTACCAAAGACCAAAAGTAATTTAACAAATAATGAATAATGTATATTCTCCTATGTCTAGAAAAAGATGTAAGCTTGAATATGTCACATGGTGTTAACAAATACAGAAATAGTCTTAGTTAGTCTTTTTTTATCCTGGTATTTAAGAATGTTAATGAGGATTTTAAATTATCTTCAATTATTTTCTGCAACAAAAATTTTTTGTTAACAAATTTGAATTGAATATATTTTGAATGACTAAAATGCTGGTATCAAGTATGCCTGTCTAGGATATAACCTAAAAGCTAGCTTACTGTTTAACCAGATATAATATTTGTATAAAAGTAGCTTGAAAAGACTCTGTCATGCATGTAAAATTTCACCCAAAGATGTTTTCATACTTGTGTTATATAGCATATAATGTACGTGTGTAAACAGTTTTGTATTATATGTCAAATTATCGGTAAATTGTGAAATATTTTTTATATAATTATCTTTACTAATTGAAAATGTGCTGATATTTTTGTAAATCTGTTTATAAAAGATTATATATATATAAATGTTAAAACATATCTGGATTATTGTTATCTATATTAGATATTATAAAACTTGTTACAACACGAAACCTTTGCAAGTTGATCCTCACTTAATTACCACTTTCTATTAAAATCTTATCCTTTGTTAGAAAAGAAAGCTTATTTTCAGGACTTTGTGTGGTTTTTGTTGTTATTTATTGTTGTTATTTCTCTTCTCTTTTTTTAACTTATTGTCATCAAAAAAAATGAAGTGAAGTTACCTCCAGCAAAACAATTATCATACAACTTTCTTCTCAATGTCACATCAGGTCATCCTATACATTAGTCTGATCATGCTGATAAATATTTTAGTTTCTTCATACTTTCTCTTGAGTAATATTAGTTCAGGGAAACATGCATTCTTCTCTATACAATGATAGAAGCAGATTTTGTGTTTCTGAACAGTCTATTCAAAGTTTTAGGAAGCCACTAACAATAGAATGCTCAAACTGAATAGATGTGCAGGCTGGCCTGACTCTATACTGGTTGCATTAGGCTAGTCGTCGTCAGTTGAAGCAGGTGACAAGTTGAATGTAATCTGACCATTATCATGTCCTGCTCAATTTTCGTACTTTTGTTTTCAAAATCTCTTTTAACCATAAAGAAATTGTTCCAGTTACATATGACTATCATAAAACAAATTCATTATGGCAAAAGTAAAATTATTTACATTCTCATTCATCCATGTCTATTGTGATAATCAAGAGCTTGCAAAACTATGTTTGTTGGTAACTGGGGGAGGGGGGGTACCATACTGTTACAAATCATACATGTATGAATTTTTTATGTTCATAATGAGTTTTATGCACTTAAGAAACATGAAAAGTGGGTGTACAAAACATAGACAAAATAAATTTACATTAGGAAAAACATTAGCATGACATGTACATTTATCAAAGTCTTGTTTTTTGAACGAACTGAGGTGAAATTAGAATGGAAAAAATCATATCCGCAAACAGGTTGTGACCATGTTATACCATTTATAAATAGAAGTTGTTTTTATAATCTTTTAAGTAACATTGTTTTTGATTGTAAGTTTTTTTATTGTCAATGTCTGTTTCTATTAATTATGCAATAAATGCTAGGGTAATGTTTTCATTTACCTCTGTCTGTATTCAGATGATTAAAGAGTGCATGATTATATAATTATGATATATCATTTTAATATCTGGTTTCTTATTGTTTAATTCTTTGTTAGATGATTGTACATAACATATTTTGTTACTTTTACTTATAATGTATATCTCTTTAAAAGAATGTTTTATACAAGATACACAAATGTAATGTGGTCAGAAATTATCAGTAAATAAAGTGAAATATAAATATCTTGTTTTTTTTTTATCTTCTGAGAATATTCATCACCTATATTAAAAGTAGAAAAACTATTGCTTTGATTGATACAAAAAAGTAAGGAAATTGAAACTGAAACTAACTTTCAATGATTTATCAAGTTGATTTTTTTAATTACAATTTTAAAACCACTTAACTACAGTGCAGCAAAACCCTAGATATGAAAGAGTGTGTTAAATAGTAACAATATTGTCAACTTTACAAATAATGTCTTGCACAATTAGCATAATTATGGTATTTTAATATTTAAATAGATGTGTCAAAATATGAAAGAATAGCCTTTATTAAGTGAGAGGTAGAAATACAAAATTCGACTACATTTTACATAAAACTAGCCTGTGTCTAATGAATAATAAACTATTTAATATTTTTCATGTTCTATTTTCATGGCATGCACATTTACTAAGGAGAATATAAGTAATAATCAACTTATACTGTAACAGTTGACTTATACTGTGAATTATTTTCTTATGTTACATTGTAATATCAAATCATTTATTCTCATAAAATCCATAATAAATACCTACTTTCAATGTATATAATGGCTAACCAGTTTTCTTAAATGTTAAACTATCTGAAAAGAATATAGCTTTGAAAAATAAAGTGTAATGGTAAATCAGTTTTAAATTTTTTAAAGTCAACTGTAACAATGAGTTAACTTATGGTTTTAGATGATTGAGTTAGGATAATATTGCATTTAACCATAGACATTCTTTTTCTATTATTTTCTAACATTAACCATTGAAATCGTGACTACAGTCATATCATGTCTGTAGTGTAAACATAAAATGGAGTATACAACGGGCCCATATACAAAATAATGTCTAAACTATGTACAACAATATTCAAGGACTACCTGTTTTATTATTCAGTTAGAATACATACTAACTTAAGTAACACATCCGTAATATCATTATAATTTTGCTCAAACACTACCATGTTTTAAATAAGGCATGTGTAAGGCAAAACACAACAGTAAGGCATGAATTAATGTATATATTACATGTCCCTGAGAGTTATATCATTTCTTTTAAAAATTTGCCCAATTTTTCTTCTATTCTGTCAAAATAATTTCATATCAAATGACCAATTTATTCTCTTAAATCATTAATTTTCTGCTAATTATCCCTATGTGGGCTGCACAGGTCATAGCAAAAAAAAACAACATTTTTCAAACAATAAAAGTTTTGGTAAATTATCTGCATTGTGTTAAACCTCAAGTATTTTGTGATTAATGAATTAAAAATGTTGTAATACTGCTATACAAAGAATGAGTAGAGGAAATGATTAAATTTGTCACTGATAGAAACCTGACTTGAATGGTAATCTGCTGAATATAAATAGAGATATAATGAGAGTGGGGACCATTGAAGGTTTTACTATCTTGTCTGTTTGTACAAGCTTAGTCAAAAGTAATATAATCTTATAAACATTGAGGTTATGACTGAACTATCTATATATAAACATTTAAAATGAAATATTATTACTTGAAAGTATTTCGAATGAAAAATTCTAAAATATAGTAATAAACATTATATTATCTGGTCATTGTGGACGACTGTGTACAGAATGGCTCTAGTTGTATACTGCTGGCTTTGAACAGGTCATTAAAGCCAACCCACACACTCCTTAACCTGCCTTATTTGTGTAATGGATTTGCCCACCTTTGAATTAGGAACAGTCTATAAAGTTTATGCCATTTTAATATTTCACCACAGAAATGCACCTGGCTCTATACTGGTAACAAAGGCTAATTACTTCCTGTACAAGCAGGTTAAAGGTTCAAGCATGGAATAAAGAATAAATTCTGCATGTACTGGTCTGTATAAACCAACATTGAAGTGATAACATCTAGACATATCTATGGCAAATTCTTATGTGAAGCTTTATAACATGTTTACCTTGGCCAGCCCACACTAAAATGGTCAGATAGTTAGATAACACTGATGAAAAGAAAACTTTTAAGTTTTTTTCCTGTTGACACAGGGTTTAAAACAAATATCTAGTTTTCAATTATACACTGTATTACAGGCTAAATTGTTCAGCCCCAGGCTATATTATGTATGAATGTAGTGTTACATACCAGTAGTCTGACACTGTCAAGTTCATTCTCATTACTTACACATTACAAGGCCTTTTGAAGAATAAACTTGAAATTTTAATGAATAGTTTGTCCTTGATTTATAGTGGCTTAACATATAATTATATGAAATCATTTAGCATGTCTAAAGTCAATTAATTCCACCAACTCCAATTTTTATAGACCACAGTGTGCCTTTTTAATTTTCATAAAGGTAATTTTTAATCATGATTTGCTTTAAGAGGAGGTTTGGCCTTGTGGTTAAGGTGTTTGCCCCTAAACCCAGGGATCCTAAGTTCAAGCCATAATACGGTCACAACCATGTTTTCACATATGATATCAGTTCTGGCACACCAATAATTAGCGACTCAAAAGTAATTAATATATGTTGCAAGAACTTAGCAAACAAGCTTCAATAAATATATGTTTAAAATTAACTAATTTGTTTAAAAACAGATGTAAGTCTGCATCTATTTATATTCAATGATATTGTGTAATAAAAAGAGCACATAAACTAATTACATCAGATAGTCGCATGTTTGTTTATCTTAACTTGACATCTTTTATCATTGTAAATACTTGAATATTACATTTGTTTTTCTTAATCATACTGTCATGTCAATAAAATACTTCTGAATTCCACAAAACAAAAGCTTTCAAAAGACAACATGCTCGACTATCTATTTGCCATGCAGAATATTTTTATGTTTTATAAAATACATGTTAGAGTTGAGCATCTGGTTAGTTACTTTTTTCCTTGACCCTAAAGACAAGTGATTTTGTCCAATGGTTAATAGGAATTTCTAAGTCCAAAAAAGAATATATACAGTAAAAACTCTGTGTAAGAGCTAAGGATCTTGGGGAAAAAAACAATCTTGAACATATTTGGAAGTTCTGTACGTTACATAGTATAGTACAGAACATATGTCTTAACATGGCGGGATTCACAAATGCGCGAGTCATTTGTGCATAACGGTCACGTGGTATTAGGCTGTTTTTGGCGGTAAAACAGAGCGGGTTTTCATTCTAGGCTTGACTTCTGTCCTTTCAAGGCGTAAATTTTATTAGGCTTTATTTTGAAAATGTCTGACGACGACAGGATGGATGGAATGGAGGGGATTATTGAAGACAAGGTGCAGTCAGCATTGAAAGAGAATAATGAGCAGCTGTTGAAAAATATTGAGGGCATGATAAACAAGATAAGTGTTCCAATTCCTTCTTGTTCCGATATTCAAGAAAAACCAAAACTTAAAAGGAAGAGTAATGACGAGCAATACAGACATAATGCTAAAGTAATGGCTAAATTAGAAGATGTTAGCACATCTTTGTCTTCACAAGATATCGATAGAGCACGAGTTTCAGTTATAGAAGCAAAAGACCTTATAAAACGGAGGCAGAAGTTAATTCAACTGGCTGATGGTTCTGAGCTAGGTTGGCGCCTTGTGGCGGAGTATGAGTCGAATCCAATTGCGTCTGGCAGTGAAGACGAGAAGCGCATTAACAAAGCGGAGGCCATGGCGAATAGGAAGGCTAAAGAGGATAAGGTCAAGAAAGCGAGAATTAGGAATTTGCCTAATCGTAGACGAATCAACACGGGGGAACAGACGACTAGTCAGCCTCAGCGTTCTATGAGTTCTACAGGACAGACTCAGCGTACAGGAGCATGTTATACCTGCGGGGATTTTGGACACTGGAAGGCAGACTGTCAGCAAAACAGGCGTCCTAACAATAAGTTAAGTGTTTCTAATTGTCATATTTTTTTGTGATGAAAAGTCGCAAGACTGTATGGTTGACAACGGACTTTCTATCCAGAGAGAGGGTATTATGTTAGATACCACGTTAAATGTTGATTCTTTAGATTGTAGAGAAGCTAGTAACTTGAAGTCTGGTTGTCATAGTAACGATTATCCAGCAATTTTCGGTAAGAATTATATTTGCAATAATGTTGATCAATGTGAAATTTCTACTATTGCTGAAAAGGATAAAAATCACGTAAGTATTAATGGTCTATCGCTAAAAGGGCGGCTTAAGGAATCTTTAGAATACTGGAGAAAAATCACTTCAGATAGTTATTTACTTGACGTTGTAGAAAATGGATATAGGCTACCCTTTAGAGAAACGCCCCTGGATATATATTTAAAAAATAACAAGTCTTCAAGAGAAAATCCAGATTTTGTAGAATCAGAAATAAGCTCTTTATTGAGCAAATGTGTTATCTCACAGGTTCAGAATAAACCAAGAATAATTAACCCTTTAACAGTCGCTTACAGTAAAACTGGTAAGCCTAGATTAGTTTTAGATTGTAGGCACATCAACCCTTGTTTACATTTGTTCAAAATTAAATTTGAAGACATTAAATGCGCTCAACAGCTGTTTGACATATCCAGTTATGTATATACATTTGATTTAAAAAGCGCTTATCATCATGTAGAAATTTTTTCAAAACATAGAACTTTTTTAGGTTTTTCTTGGACATCTAAGGGTAAAACAAAATATTATATGTTTAACGTCCTCCCTTTTGGCATAGCAACCGCAGGTCATATTTTCACAAAATTATTAAGGTGTGTAGTAAAATTTTGGCGATCTTTAGGTCACAAAGTCGTTATGTTTTTAGACGACGGCATTGGAGGTAATGCGGATTTTCAGCAAGCTAACATTTCAAGTTTGTTCATTCAGAAAACTTTAAATGAATTGGGATTTTTGATAGCTCAAGAAAAATGTAATTGGTTACCGTCTCAACATGCTAGCTGGTTGGGGCATGATTTAAATTTTTTGTCGAATAGATTGTTTATCAGTTGTGAGAGAATTAAACGTCTCGAATCATCTATAGATGTTTTGTTGTTCATGCTCAGGGCTGAAAATACACAACTTATTCAGGTGAGATCTTTAGCCT